TTTACAGTACTGTACATATTACACATGTACATCACGTATACATCACTAACTGTACACATATTGTGCATATAGTTATCGCATTATACGGGAAGAAGGAATTAATGGATTTCGACTCGCATCGAGAGTTATTAGTATATACTGTATATATATATATAGGGACGACTAAAATGTATATACATACGATGCATAAATGCAGAGTTCAAGCGGATGCCTCTTCGATGATGAGAACCAGCAGCAGCACACGTCAACCACGCACACACTCAGCAAACGCAGGGCATTCACATACACACAAAACAGCACATACACAGCACGACAACACGCAGCCAGGTACAAAAGTAAAAAAAAAAAATAAGCACGTCACTCGATTCCGATGCCAACAACAACAACAACAGCACCACACAACAAAAACCCATCACAAAACGAACCCAGGAAAGCCAAAAAATTATGCGTCATATTCTTCCTTATTGTTCCTCATCTCATTCTCTTGTGCTCATCATCTGAGCAAGCGGGATGATGATGATGATGAGAACAATAAAGGGGCAAAAAGCAATAATGGGGATTCAAACAACCGACGCACGCAGCACAGTACGTCATACAAATTGACACACACAAAAACAAAACAAAAATAGCCAGGACCAAACCTAAACGAAAGAAACCCACATCAGCAGACAACGGTTCAGTTTTAGCTGTTTGTTTTCGCAAACGAATTCAGGTCACGATAGATGCAGCCTGTTGGAGGTGGTGGTGGTGGTGGTGGTGAGGGACGACGACGACGTCCTGCTGCTGCTGGCCCCTGCTGCAACTGATGATGCTGCTGCTGCTGCTACTGCTTCCACCACCACCTCCGGCGTTGACGGGGCTGGAAGAGCGTAGTAGTAGCGGCGGCGGCGGCGGCGGGGACGGCGCCAGGATCCCCGCCGCGCCAGCTGCGCTGAACATGCTGTCGACTGTGGAAGACGTCGTCGTCTGCGTCGTCGTCGCCAATACTCCCGCACTCGAATTATATCCACCGCCGCCGCCGCCGTCGTGGGCGTCGTCCAAGGCACGCAGAAAGTCTTGCAACCTGACCAGCGCGCTGCTCGACCGGTTCCTTCATTCGTTCCATCCCAAACCCCAGCATCCACGCATCAAGAGTGCAGTTCATCATCATCAATAAATGAGCATTAATTCATTCCTCTATACACACATATATATATATATATATATACAGTATATAAATTGTATATTCATGTGACACCAGGTGAACATGAAAATAGAAAAAAATTCAGCACGAGAAATAATAAATCTCCTTTTCTGCATCGCGTTTTGTCCGCATCATACAGTAACGCACTGGCACCTCAATCAATCATCATCGTCGCTTTCAATAAGCAAACATCATCAGAGCATCACCAACGAGGACAATAGATAAAGAAAAGAATAGCATATCAACATCATCGTCATGAAGCACAGCACAGCACAGTACAGTATTCACACACATGTGGCATCATCATCATCATCATTATCATCACCAAAACAAACGTATTTTCTGTCAGGACTGAACCTGTTTTTTTTTTTTTTTTTAACCTTCGAAACAGCAAGAGTTGAAGATGACTATACAGTACGTATATGCATAAAAATAAAAAAAAGAGGGAGAGTGACATTTGGACTCATCATTCCTCCATGTATACAGAATACATACTGTAAAAGATGGAAAACTCGTCGAAAGGGGGTGCGTATACACAATACAGGTAAGAATGAATGATGGGATAAGTCAGGAATGGAATGCAGTATAACCAACATACATCCACAGCATAATAAAGAGACTTGCTGTACAGTATCTATAATAAAAAATGCTGGGTGTGGTACAGTATATGACGGAGTGACTCGCTGGGAATAAAAGCAAGGTTCGAGCAAATCTATATATAAAAAGAAGCCGGGATTTGTAATATAGTCGGGTCATTCGCTTCCTCGTCATCAGACATGATAAATAAATGCATATACACTGCCAGTATAAAAAGTGATGAACAACAAGCATCACCAGGGTCAGCAGCGCAGGTATACAAAGCCCCCTATAAATATTATTATATTGACGCTTCTATAGATGGAAGAGGGCAAAGGAAAAACCAAGTGATTATATTGTGTGCAGTGTACAGTACAGCAGTATATATAAATAGTTGGAAGAAGACTCGGATATATATAAAGCGTGTACAAATACAACAACAACAACAACAAGAATACAGCAAATGAACTAAAAAAAATAAATAAAAACAAGACCGATCGAGAACTGGTTGAATGAAAGAAAGAATAAAGTCCAGCACCCGATATAAAGGCGCACTCACCAGCACATCTATATACAGAGGGCTCACGTCATCTCTTCCTCATCATCATCATCATCATCATCGTCGTCTGCTGTATATGTATGGTTTGCTTGATGGACATCATCCCCATACATACATATACATATACAGTACATACACCAGACCGCATGCACTCGTATGCCTGGCAATCCTGCGCAGTTTGTTCAAGGCACCGACGATGACGACCGGCCTCTGCTATAAATGCCTGCCCTCCATCACCGAGCAATGATGCCTCGGTGCAATAAGTTGAACCGAAAACCAATAAATACGCAACGCGAAATAAAAGCAGCAGCAGCAGCACCGAGAAGACGCCGGTCCATGCAACACCTCTCGTCGTCGTCTTCTTCTTTCATTCCTATATACATGATGTGATCGCGGCCAGCAGTATATCACTCGTCGTCCTTTCAACGTTATTATATTTTCGCTCGTTAGATCGCCGTGAAAACAAGAGAAAAAAATGCCGAGACTAAAAGTAATTGCAATACTGCACCTATACAGTTTACAGTACGGACAACTTGCAATAATGAACCAGCAGCAGCAAAAGAGCATCATCACGCCCCCTCCCACAGCATTTCGCCTCTATATAATAATGAGCGGGGTTGATTGTCCACCGCAACACGAGAATTCCTAATCCCAAATATGGACAATATTGCATATATACAAAGTTCCAATTCTCTCAACAATAATAGAGACTCGAATTATTAAAAGAAACCCCCCCCCCCTTTCTCTCCAAAATTAATCCTTTTTTCCTTCGATACAGTATTTTTCATATAATAAGCTGCGTGTTTTTGGTCGACAAGTGGATGCCCAACTTTACAGTACTGTATATATTATCGCGACGACGGGAACGATCGATCGATGACTTGACACCGAGGTATAGATCGAGAAATAGCCTCGACATCAAGACACCCATGCAATCTCTCCAGCTTTCCGCCATTCCCTTATATATACATAAATAGCCTCCGAGAATGCCAATTGGCCAAAAGTGAATCAAAATCAAGGGGTATAGACTCATCTGCTGGGCGATTTCGAAACGCTCCTTGCATCATAATTTCATAATTCGCGCAATAATAATAAAAATAATAAGGCTCGGGGTTAGATTTCACGCAGCGTCGATCGAGAAGGACGTGTTATTTCTGCGACTCTATATAATCAATCTGTGAAATCGCAGCAAGTGAAAATTGGACCAAGTGATCATCACCAATGTTTCGAAAATTAGGCAACTTAATTAAAGGTACACTGCTGCACACACTGCATGTATAAATATACAGGCTTCCAGCAGCATGAAGGGGTATTCTCCTCATCACAATAAGTGAGTTTAAAAATACCGACAAAAATTAAAAAGTCGGTCATCTTCACCAGCACAGACCAAGCTCAATGCAAGGAACCAAAAAAAAAAAAATTAAGCTCCGTTGAAAAAAAGAAAGAGGTTCTTGAAAGCTGGATGCTAGTCAAAATCTTTACACGAGAATCGCCCAGCACATATATAGTTATTGAAATTCCTCCTAAAACTGGATTTTCTCGGCGGGTTTCTCATCCGTTGCATGTACATATACTCATCGGATCTCATGGAAGCTTTCCGAAAACAAAAAGGAACAGGAAAAAAACAAAAACCCTTGACTATATGCTTGCTGGCGGGCGGGCGGGCTTTCAACAGTAAACGGCGGTGCCTTTCTTACAAAGCTATTGTATAGGCGGAAATGTCATCAGGAATCATCATGGATATCGTTGACTCGAGTTGTGCATGGACCGCATCCGGTGTCTGCGTGCGAGAAGAAAAAAAAAAAAAAGAGGTGGGGGAGGACCAATAAAAAGAATCAGGTTGAAAGGAAAAATGATTAGGCAAGAAAGACAGAGAAAGGTGATGGGAAGAAAGAGAAGCGGCGGCGCGCAGCAGGAGAGAATGGGGAAGAAGACAGAAAACCATCGTCAAACAAACAAACAAACATATACACATATTGTACCGTATAAACACACACTGACACATCAGAAGAAACACCATTTCCCTCCCACAACTATATTATACGAGCAGCATCATCAGAACGCGAGCCATCAATTTCATAAATCAGACTTGGAATGCTGCTGTGTATATAATCCAGGAACGGAAGAGAAAATCCCGACCCCGTCTAGTTTTCCGTCAAAAAAAAAAAAAAAAAAAAAAATTATTATTCGAAAGACAGATTGAAAATAATCCGTCCTTCATGCACAGCACATCGTCAGCATTCGTGTATCGCGGGAATGATTCCGTCCAAAAATGAGAAAAAACCCCCTACATCATACTGATACGCTGTTTAGTTTAGATATAATATATACTGTACAGTACACGTCACATCCTAATGATCCTATACAGTTTACACAGCACAAACCAGTTAACCGACCAACCACAGACATCCCTCAATTCAGGCGGCATTCGCTGCTTTACATAATACCTTCGGCAGCCGGAAACGAGACAGCATCACCACGAATCCATCAATCAACGTACACCGTGTATATATATATACTATATATATATATATATATATATATATCCACGTTTTTACATATATATATATATACTGTATACACACACACACACACATACATACTCACACCAACGCAGACGCATCGAAAACTTATCGTCAGCACTTATTTAGGAGATGTGTGATGCATCACGCAATGTTATTGCTATATAGCCAAAGCACATATAATAAGTGACGGTGAAACGATGCCTTCAACATGGACATCGACATCGACATCGAGATCGATGTCGTCGTCGTCGTCGTCGTTCATCGATCCGTCTTTAAATCTTCTCTTCCCTATATACAGCTCCTCCTTTATTGATGATTTTTACAAATGCACACGTACTGTACTTAATTCTCACACCCATCAAATATACACACATTACAGCACAGCGAGCACACGACATTCTTAATATATTACAGTACAGTATAAACATTAATTCATCAACAGGTGCCGCAGCATGTACAGTATATCCGACATCTTTCATCTTTCCCGCGGTACCTATGTATATATATATATATATATATACATAATAATGGCAACCCATTATCGCGTCATGTATATGCTGTCATATACGGTACTCTTTAGGCACTCTTCCCCAGCCGTAATAACAACAATTTAATTGACAATGAATCGTCAATTAAATTGATGCCGACGGGAGAGAGGGAGAGAGAGAACAACAAATTTAGAAAAAAAAAGAGAAAAGAATAAGGAAGAGGAGGAAACGGTTTTTACACGATCGACATACCTGATGAGCAGAGTGACGTAGTCGGGCCAGTCGTCCGGCAGGAGAACGAGCAGGAAGCCCATCCCAATTAGTATCAATCCACCGAGCTTCATGCCCTTGAAGGCCAGTCCGTACCAGAGTGTGTCACACACTGACGATGACGTCAATAACAACGAATAATATAGGCTCGTTCGCCGTATACAGTACACTTATTGAAACGCATTTTCAAGTTGAAATAACAAACCTGCTGAGATCGGAATGGCGATGAGCAGTCCAAGCGTGATGAACACGTCGTACGTGAGCAGGATCCCCAGGTTTCCGAGCAGATTGGCGACTGCAGAGCATCATCCGTCATAAACAGCATGCATGCAATAATTTTGAAAATTTCATCCTCGATTATTCGCGGAACAGCAGTATTATGGAGTTTATACATGGAGAGATAGAGAGATTGACTCACCCAGAGACAAAGACCCGGCCAGAGTCAGTGGAACCCAGGGAATATGCGCCCAATTCCACGTCTCGACACGGGTCACGTGCAACGCCAGCGGCAACGGCCAAAACAGCACGGCATTCACCAGGCTGATGAGGCTGAAGAACAGCGCCACCTGCGTGAAACTCGCTTCCCCGATCAGCTTCTTGAACAACACCTATACAGCACACAGTACAATATTGTTCATCATCAAACAATGCAGCTAGTACTGTACTGTATATAATAAATATACTGTACCTATATAGCTGACATCAGTCAACAAGTGCGATCATCATCATCATCATCAGCAGGATAAACCATGAGTTATTATTAATAGGGTCTTTTTAATTCCTGACTAATATGATTGGGAACACAGCATGATGCATATACAGTACAGTATATATATATATATATATATATATATGTGTGTGTGTTATTGAGGTTTCTTGATTCATTTCTTTGACTACATCAATATACAAAACACGTAAAGTACAAGTCGAGGATAATGACCTGACGATCATAAATAATACCGTATACACTTTTTTTTACAGTACAGTACTGTACATTTATTCTCACAAATCACCAACACTGGATATAATTTAGCCCATCTTCAGAGCTGGAAATCAATAAGGGGCTCGACTCAATATTACAGTATTCTACAATGCGATATTGCATGCGCGTGATCATGTACTGTATAATGAACGTTCGTCAGAACAAAAACCTTTTTTGAAGGAATATTTTCATTTTAGTTTTTATTTGGGGGAGAGGTGGGAGGGGGGGGGGCTGCCTTTTTTCTCAACCTGCATCATTTGATGATGATGCATCATTTGGACATTGGCCCAACATTATGATGATGCACCAATAGTGAGTAAAAATTGTGTCAATACAGTACAGTACTTCACACTTTTTTTTTCTTTCTTTTTTTTTTTCTACCAGACCTTGTAGATGGCTGAACCGGCTGCAGCCGCAGAGCCAAGCACAACGCCGCCCAAAGTGGATGTCTTGGCGATGCCGTCCATGTAGGCGAGGAGTGCGATGCCCGTGTTGCACAGGATGACGGCCACGATCCTTACGCCCACAAACTGGTCGTGCAGGATGACCCAGGAAAGGAGGTAGACAAAGCCCACGCTGGACGCGTACAGGGACATGACCGTCGTCGAGTCCAGGATCCGCAGCGACAGCATGTACATGTAGTTGGTGCCGACCCAGAGTCCACTGAAGAACAGGATCCGTCCGCAGAACTTGACTGCATTTACAGCACATATATAATACATCAATCAATAACCAAAAGTATGAATATTAATTATACAATAGTATTAGTAATAATAATGATGAGGAAGCAAACGTGCAGCATCGACAATCATGAATCAAACAGTATATATACAATAGCTGTCACACTATATGTACCGGTATACAGTTATAGCTATCATGTACCAGAGCATGCATTTGATTTGGCTCCATCAGTCCAGCAGCATCAATAACACACACAGCAGTTACAGTTTAGGAGACAGACAGCAGCCACAACAACAACAACAAGATACAAAACTAAAATATGCAAGAGCTGGATCAAGACTCACGAGGACTGAGACCCCGAGTGTGGAACTGTTGTGCAGCCTCAACCAGCAGTCCTCGAACTGTGCCCACGTCGCGGATGAGCACGACCTGGATGAGCAGGAAGAAGGGCATGAAGAGCACGGTCCACACAGTGCACCACCACGTCGTGAGGAACGGAGCATCGTAGCGCCCGACCGCCATCAACGATGAGTCGTCTGCCGTGAGGAGCCGCGTTCTCGTCATTGTCATCACACCAGCACTGCCGTCCTCGTCCCCGACAATGGCCTCCTCCACAACGTCGTCGGACGCATCCATGCCCCTGCGAATCAAAATCAGTGATCAGTGTCAGTCGATCAATTTATTTTTTGATCCTTGCACAGTGAGGTACTGTATATGATGTATGGCGGGGTGGTGACACAATAAACACAATGGTAATACTGCAGTACGATGATCATCAGTGTGCTGGTGCTGGATTGTATGATGACGAGCTCACGACGTACCCAAACGCTGAAGTAGCAGCACTGGCAGTGAAGTTCCCGGCGGTGGTGGCAGCAGGGTGCCAACGATGTCGAACGTAGGCAAATTTGATGGCGTGTGTGGCGCCGACCCAGGCAATGGCCACCAAAGAAGTGACTGTGAGCCCTACGGCCATCCGCCGAGCCACCTTTCCGGCCAGCTTCCGCCGCGAATGCTGCTGCTGGCCACTGCCGCCCTTGGAGGAGGAGTTGTTGTTGTTGTTCTCTCCATCGTCGGCGCCGCCAGCATCACCACTCAGCTTACTCCTAGCGCCACTGCTGGTGGTGGTGGTGGTGTCTGCACTGTTGATGGATTTTCGCGAGTGAAACATATGAACGATACACTGCTCTGCACTCAGCATCATGCTGTATTCATAATGCACACATCATTCATTCATTATTCACTCACCAATTGTTGTTGTTGTTGTTATTGTTGTTATTGTTGTTGTTGTTCTGCTGGTCTGTGCAGGATTCCACGTCCACTGACGGCGGCGCTGCGGTGGAGCAAGAAGGCAAGCACAGCGTTATTTCGTCGTATTCCACCATCAAGACCCCCTATATTTCGGCGCCTCAGCAGCATACGCCGACACTCATATATTTCTACATACAGCAGTAATGTACAGCATTCACAACTGATGCATGATATATGCTCGAAAGCACGCGAGCAACTAGTATATAGAAGCACTCCTTCAAGCTGCAGTGGGAATGGAGCCAACAGCACGAGCTGTTGTCACTGACTCGCAGCACACGAAGGGGGCTATCACAAAATCCACCACGATTTGGACACTGTCCAAATAACGGAACACTCGCTCAGGGAGAAACGCCGACATTTTCTGAGTTTCCCCGCTGAATGATGCAGCAGATGACGACAATGATACACTATACTGTACTGTATACGCGAATGAGCATTATTGCTGCTCTTTCATTATTATTCTTCTTCTCATTTTTCAAATACTCCATTATTTAATTCAGCATGGATGGATGGACTGGTTATTACCGCGTTATTTGCCTTTCCAAATATACTGTTCGCATACTATTATTCCCTCTGCATGTACAGTATACTGCTGTGTGCGTCAGTCTATCTATACAGTACAGCATTCTCATCAAGCTGCAACTACTGCATGTATACTGCTGTGACTCGACGATCCTACTCGACAGCATGATGAGCAGCGACATCTCATCCGTTTGTCTCACTGGGCATTTATACGCAGATGCCAATAAAGGAATTCGACAGCTCTGCTGTAGCTCACCTTATTATTCATGCCTCTTATTATACGCAGTGGGTCACCTCCGGCCATCATGCAACTGCGAGCTGATGATGATGGACAATCATCATTCCTATTATAACGAGTAACATTATACGCGTGGAGTGTACATGCGCTTATTAAAGGCACCAGACTCGACGAACTTGAATGCATTCATCTCACGTACGGTATGTATACGCAGCAGCAGTAATTCACACTGTTGAAGCGTACTGTATAACCTTTTTGCAATATCGCTACCAACATCTTTTCTTTCAACTGGGGATAAAGATAATTTCACCTTCGTAAGGCCCAGATAGTGCTGGGAATTATCTCAACTATTACAGCAATACAGCAGTCATGAATCTTGAGGTCCATCTCAGTTCATTCCTAGCGTGTTTCCGAGGATATTGATTTGAGCCCATGCTTGACTGAAGGGGCAAAACATGCCATAGCCCGATCCAGTCATGCATTTGTTCACTGATTATATACGGTAAATAATGGAAGGGCACTAGCACTAGCTTCGTCGTGTAGTCAAGCGTGATTGTCCATCAACTTTGACTATAGTATTGCCCCATCATCAGGGATTATTGCCCAGCAGCATGCAGGTGACCCATTGCGGAAAGTAATGTAAGAAGAGTGACGATGTCGAACCCCGAGAGCCTTTCCATCATGCACTCTATAATTTTGGAGACATCATGCTGAACAATATTACAATTAATAACCAAATATAACACTGCATCACTATAGCTGTCTTTGGAATGTGAACTACACAGACATTCGCGGTGGTAGAGTGTACTGTACTTGTTTGATGCTCCACATTCAAATCAACGCACCGAGGGTGTTGCCACTGGAAGGTGCCACTGGTCGAAGCAGATTCATTTCGGAGACGCCAGTTTTCCGGGGTGGGAATGGCAACAAACGTTTGGCAGCCCCGGTCGTGGAAGACAGCTTAGTATTGTTTGCCCCGCCAGCAGCAGACATCACGGTAGCAGGTATTGCCGACATGGGTGTTGTTGTCGAGTTGGCCGTCGACGATGATGACGTCACAGAATTACTGGTTGCCGGGCTAGTCCAGCAGCTGACATTGTCGGCGGACACAACACAGAGCAGCTGTTGGTCATGCATCGTCACGGATGCTCCGCCGTCCATGGCACTGCTGGTGCCCATCCCGTTATTGTCGGCGTCGTCAACAGGAGATGGATCCTCGGCGCGACTAACAACAACGGCGGGGACGTCGTCAGGAAGCTCTTTTTGCCGGCTACGGGCCAGCACTGCAGCCATCAGAGGATGGGTCGGCGCCTTATTGCCGCCTCCTGCACGGAACCCTGCTTTCACGGGCGGGGCAGATGACGTCACACGGCCGCCGTTCTGCTGATGTGGCTTCATCTCTCTGCTATGTATGTATAGTACCGTCGAGCAGTCCTTTATCTTCTTACCTTCAACGTCTACTGTGGGCAAACATGCAAAAGGCAGCAGACATTATATATACAGTACAGCATACGATCAAGCTGCATGCAGCAGTGCATTCCCATATGTGATCGTCAACAGTAATTCAACGGAGGATGTTGAACGCAATCAGCATTTCAAGCACACTCTCAAAACTGACCTGTAACATATACACCTTTTCCACCAGCGAGTCCCGGCGAATGATGAAGTCCTTCTTTTTCTTCAAGGTCAGTGCTGACTGGAAACCCATTGCCTACGCAGTTGCGAAGAACATGGAGTTGAAAAGTAATGGAGACGTCAACGAGTGCCGGTCCCAGCTATTCCAATCAAGTCAGTACAGCACATTAGATCATTCCATCCAGCAGATTGTATACGAGGAAACAATCATACAAACGGGCAATGAACGGTGTTAACACCCCGAAATCCATGATCACTGATGACATTTTGATGGAACGACTCAGGTTTTCAACCATGATGTCAAATCCACCACGCAGATCTATACACACTATATATCTTGCACCATTGTCACGTTTTCACCCCAATGGCACAACAACAGAAAGTTTCACATCTGTATGTGAGTAAATAAAGGGGAATCATCATCATACATACATCATCTTCCCGTATATGGCTGATCTAGACATCCCAGAATCACTCTCTGGAACAATTTAAAATATGAATCGAATTTTGATTGAATCAAGATTATGATTTCAAGCTTCCATCTGATGAATTGCTGCTATACTGAAAATCAGATGCAATCATGCATATAAAAAGTTAAATGAATTTCTTTGAATACAATTGTGAATATGCATTTATACAGTTTGATATATGGTTGTATATATATATATATATATACGCCACACGTCACAGATTCCAACTCAAGGCCCAACAGGCACTCAGCACAGGTTGAAATTACTAAAAGACACGGAGTACTCTTCCTAAACGCGCGGGACTCCATTTAGTCCATTGTATCATACCACAAATGCTGATGCTCGACCGCGCGATATATTATGAAGACACCTCATAGGCCCTTTTGCTCCTCACGCATCATCGATTTCGCAGTGTTCTGCGTCATAACCTTCCTCTCTCATCAAATATCCGAACCACTCATATTCAGTGCACAAGATTCACCAGAAATGGAATTGTTTCACATCATTGGATACCAAAATCCTGGTACACTCATCACACACTGTGAAACAATGATTCAGGGGGGGGGGGGAGAACCCTGCAGCAGTTCACGCATGCCTGGTCAGCAGCAGTGCTATTATCATGGAGGGTTGGACATGCTTTTATCACCATGGTTATTTCTTTCTCATGCACTGTCAATTGGATTTTATAACCATATCATTTTATCCTGAAATTTCGATTACGAGTCTCATTATGATTATGTGATTCACATACCTTCAAATGATACCGTGCCTTTCACTCTGTCGACTAACAAGACTAACAAGTTTGTGTTCTTTGACTCACTAAATTTGTTCTGCAAGCAACATTAAATGGCGCCGACAATGGGATGTACAATGTGTGGGATGGGATAGCTCAGGAGCTGGGCGAGGAGTACAGATGCAACCTCTCCCTCCTTACTCCGCTGTGTTTCCTTTCAACCAGGGAAAGGGGATCCGAGAAAGGGGGTGGGGGGTTTTCTGTAAGGTTGTCAGACCATAAAATTTGTCCCACCGTATAGGTTAGACAGGCACATTTTCGCACATGCTGGCATGGCATTCTGAAAGGAATCCACCTATTTTGGAAGTTCCTATAATGCAATTGTAATATTTTAATCGACGTCTGCGGGCAGCATTCGCGGTATTCGGTATTCCTTTTCGAACTACGACTACCAAACGTGAGAATTATTTAAGTCGTCTTTATCTTCATGGCAGTTTCCTGATTCGCGTGGGACCATTTCCCCAAGTTTACAACATCCAGTGCCTTCTGTTTTTCTATTCATTTCGTCGAATAGAACAGTATGCCGTTACCGTTTTTACAGCATAAATGCACAGTACAGTTACAAACTAACTTGTCCCGTTTGGACTAATTTTCTAAACGGATGCAGTGACAACAGTTCCCCTCTGGACCATACTCTATCTCTGAAAAGAGGGGTAAGGCCCCATCTCCCCAGAGCAGAACTCCTCACCCCTGCGCCCTCAAGTCTGTCACTAGTGTGCAAAAAGGAGAGAGTGATGAGATTAGGGATGGGGTGCAGTGGCGTTGAGTTTTGCTGGCAAGAAATTCTGCTCCAGCCAGAAACTACACCACCTTGGTAGAACAGGGCATTCTGACGGTTGTGCAGCAATATTGTACAGAATGTACACTAACCAGCCCGCTCCTTTGTTTGAAGTCACTTGTTAGATATTTTGTGTACAGATGTCGCTTGTGCATAGCAGTCCCCAATGGGTCACCGAAAGTGCAATAGCGGCAGGACGAAGAGGAAAATCAATACCCTGTCGGGTGGCGCATCACACATGCGCCAGGCTACGCCACTACGGAGCGCCGTCGTCGGCGGCTGGCGCGCACCGTGATGAGTGTGCTGATGACTGTTTGCGAGATCCGCTCTCTCGGCGTGATCGCAATTGAGATACTTCAGTAGTTTTGTGTTTGAATTTGATTTGTGTTTGCATTTTTGAACGCAGGATGAGCGACGGGGACGAATTTCGCGTTGGAATGACGCGTGATATGGTGATTGGATGATCAGTGGTTGTTGGGGATCAGTGGAGAGAGAGAAGGGATCGAGCAGTCGTCCGCAATGTCGGTTCCTGGCGCCGCGACTGCGCTTCCACGTATTATCTGAGGACTGGGGCGGCTTTACAGTGAGTGTGGAGATTCAAATAGCATACGAAATCAATTACTGTATTTACGAAATGGGTTGCAGTGGAAGACTTGGTGGAGGAGCGGGCGGGGAGAAGAGCTATGGGCGACGGCGCCCGATTTGGGCGCCGCCGACGACGACGAGCCGTGCCGCCGTCAACCGGCGATGGCGTCGTTCGTGACCTGATCTCCTGCCGCGTGACTGAACTCTCCGGCATTGTTGTGTGAGTGTAAGAAAGCAAAAGAGGTGAAGGCGGAGGTGTAGGAGTAAGCTGCGTTATGTCTGCCGTGACGGACCCGCTGGATTCGGCGGCGCCCGGAAAGCTCGTGCAGAGCCACGGCCACTCGTTCGTGCGCAAGACTTTCCATCGTCCCACATACTGCCACCAGTGCACCGACCTGCTCTGGGGCATCATCCAGCAGGGTTCCGTTTGTGAAGGTGAAATCAATCGCTGGTATATCCCATCCAGCTATTATCAGAGGCTGTGATGACTGTACAGTACTAACTCGCAATCAATCTCGTTTCGTCATGTTATGTTTATCAGTGTGCAATTTCGTGGTGCACGATCGGTGCATCCGTACTGTGGCCTACCCGTGCATCAGCGTGGCCATCACGCACATACAGAATCCTGTCCCGCATTGCTGGTCAGAGCAGGGTCATTACAAGCGGAAGTTCTGTAACGTGTGTCGTAAGCGGCTCGACGAAGCCCTTGCGTTCCGCTGCGAAAGTGAGAATTCCCTAAGAGCGTGCCTTTAAGTCCCTTCAAATGAACTTGAAAGAGAAAAAAGAAACCGATAATGAACCTTCGACGTGTGTTGTGCCTGCAGTATGCGAGTATTACATACATGCGGGATGCCAGGACTTGGCGATTCCCAACTGCATGGAATGTGCGACATTCATCCCAGAAAGAATCCTGGAGCACAGCACTCACCAGCACCACTGGCGGGAGGGCAACTTGCCTGCAAACAGCAAGTGCGTTGTCTGCAAGAAGGGTTGCTGGAGTGCAGAATGCTTGGCGGGACTCAGGTGAGACGATTTATCCAATTACTGTACAGGTTTGTTTTTTCTTGTTTTCTCACTCAAAAACGTGTAATTTATGATGAGATGCGCTATTGTCGTCTCTGTTTCAAGTATAAGTATGATGCTGTATAGGATGAAGTCAATGCTCCATGATATGCAATACAGTACAGTATTTTGGTTTCGTTTGTTGGAAAGGTGCGAATGGTGTGGGAGCACGGTCCATGGCGGGTGTCTGAAAGCGGTGCCCGTAGAGTGCGTGTTCGGCGTGTTGGAGCCGATTGTGCTTCCCCCTTCAGCCGTGTCCATCCCGAGGACTGAGGTGCCGATGGAGGCGGTCTTGGGTGTCACGAATCGAAGGAATGTAAAGGCGGAGGATGCCATCTCGCGGGCGTGTTGTGAGTGTTGACTCGGATTCCCTCTTGTTATTGGGTTGTTGCGATAATGTTAATCACTGTGTTGTGTGATCTCGTTCGTTTCTCAACCATTCAGCTGCGAGGGCCATCTGCGACGATCAGTCGAGTTGCGACTTGCAGGCCAACGAAGAGGAGTCATCGGGAGGAGTCGGGGTGGGAGGCGTGTGTGGGTCGGGCTTTAGTGGAAAGCAAGGGGGTCCTTCGGGAGCAGGTGGGCAGGTCAACTTTGTCTTGCGATGAACGTTTACCTTTACCTCGAGGTGGTTCAGTTATTGTAGAGTACAGTACAGCACTGTACTGTACTGTAGGAACAAACATAACGTAATACAGCAGTGTGTAAACCTCTCGCTCTGAAGCATATTTAGATTGCTTTTAATCAAGAGTTTCTTTGTTTTGTCCACGCTTCTGTGTTGGCTAGGTGTGGGGAACAGTAGTAGCAAGCAACAGCAGCAGGGCCTGTCTTCGGAAGACGGGAGGACGACGCTGGAGGACGCTGTGGAGACCATCAAAGTGTTTGACGGCAACTGGAGTCTCCGGAGAAGAACTTTCCAATGGGTGATTGTGAGTCGGTCGGCGACCCTGGACTGTGTTTTGGCAGCAGCTTTAAAAGTAATTGTCCTGGAACTGTTGTTTGTTTCAAAGAGTCCCTGTGTTGTATTGTACAGTACTGTATCCTCGTTTGAATTGACGCAGGCGTTCCACATTCGGAGGGACCCGGCGCATTTCTACCTGACGGACGCGTACGCTGCGGAGGAAAAGGAGCTGACGGCGGATGCGTTCTTTTCGGGAACGCCGACGACGACGGGGGGCACGACGACGACAACGACGTCCTCCTCGTCTTCGTCGTCCAAGAAGCAGCAACAGCAGCAACATCAGGCTGCTGTCCGGCGTCCACCCGCGCTCTTCCTCCGACTGCGTGACGAAGACGAGGGCGAACTTGAGATTTACCCGTCGCACTTGCACGGCGTCGTGTCACCCCGACTCGTCAAGGTGTGTGTGTGTGTGTGAATTATTCACCCGTTATGGAGTGATGCACGCATCAATGAACGTTAGTTCACTGTACTTGAGTGATTACCGTGTACATATTGAATTAGGTTGGAAATGATACCACCGTGGAGAAGATCATCAGCACCGCGTTGCCGTTGTTTGGGATCCCAAACGAGGCGCAAAACAAGTTCCAGCTGACAGAAATGACTCTGGACAAGGGAGGTGAGTTGTGGTGAAACCCCTGTTTTCTATATACAGTACAGTACTTGACTGTATACATAAAATTTTCTTTTTGTGGTTTTCCACTCCCATGTTCACTCGATCACTAGCAGCAGCTTTCCTGAACTTGGCTTCAAAGACAGTGGAGGAATATTGTACAGTACAGTATATACCTACTGTAGTTGCCTAATTAATCCTCGTTTGCTCATGATTATTATTATTATTATTATTCGTATTTATTGTTTGTTGGCATTCTTACATCCCTCTAGTCAAGATTGGCGAAAAAAGTGTTACAGAACGGAATACAGTATTTGATGAGAATTCCGAGTTGATTCTCCTTGGGAACGTGTGAATGGAGTCTCGAGTTGACTTTTGTATCGTTTTTCTTTCAATGCCTCGACTCGATGTGCAGTACAGTATTTATTTATTTCCTCAATGTGGAAGACGGGATTTGGTTCAAGTTGTTGAAACAAAGTGTAATGTGTTTGTGTCGTTGGATTGTTTACATCCCTTCTTTCCCCCCCTCATGTTCAAGTGCTGGAGAGAGTGATGGCTCTGGATGAGCAGCCGTGGGAACTGCTGAAGGCGACCAGTCGAGACTCGTTGCGGCTGATGGAGCGCACCCGGTTCTACTTGCAGAGGAAGGAAGACCCTCACGGTCCCACGATCGCCTTGTATGTCGGCAACCTCCCTTTGAACCTGTCCCAAAGGTGGGTCGTCGAGACGCCTTTTGAAGAAGCATAAGAAGAAGAAAAAGAAAATAAATAAATGAACGAACGAACGAAAAATTGAAAAAATCCTTTCTCGTTTTTAGACAATACGAGCAGATTCTCATCGACATTTTGGGCGTGGACAACAAGTACGCGTCCATCGGGCCCATCTACTACGAGTACGGAGCCCTCGTCATCACCTACACCAACTGCGAAGAGGCCGTGCGGGCCTTCTACACGTGTCGGGACGCGTTCGTGGAGGAGAAGAACCTCATCGTGCTCCTCCTGCCCAACGTGACGCCGGAGATGGTGCCCAAGAAGGACAAGCCACTGCTCGTGTTTGTCAACGTCAAGTCCGGTGGGTGCCAAGGACTCGAGCTCATCTCGAGTTTCCGCAAGCTTCTCAACCCATATCAGGTGAGTGCAGTTGTTGTTTTTGTTTTTTGTCGAGAGAGAGAGATATGAGGAAGAAAGGAAAAAGAGTGTGCTTATCCTTGTTCTTGTCATTTCAAGGTGTACGACTTGACCAACGGTGGGCCACTGCCTGGCCTGTACGTGTTCCGCAAGATTCCCAACTACCGGATTCTGGTGTGTGGCGGAGACGGGACGATCGGCTGGGTCCTGCAGTGTCTGGACAACGTGGGCCAGGACTCTGAGTGCTCGCGTCCGCCGTGTGCCATCGTCCCGCTCGGCACGGGCAACGACTTGGCCCGCGTGCTGCACTGGGGAGCAGGCTATACGGGGGCAGAAGACCCCATGAGTCTGCTCAAGGACGTGATTGACGCGGAAGAAATCAGGTGGGTAAAGGCAATGGTCGATGGGTTTTTGAATCAATGCAGAATCATGTTCTGCACTGTACTGTATATCCTTTCCATTTCTTCTTCTTCTTCTTCTTCTTTCGTATGTTCAGACTGGACCGATGGACGGTGGTGGTGCACTGTGACGAAGCAGCTGCAGCATCCTCGGCAGTGTCATTTGCCACGTCCGCCGGGGAGGATGGACAGCAGCAAGGCCAGTATCGGGGTGGAGCGGGGACCAACAACCACCACCACCAACTGCCGGCATGTGCGCAGGTAAACGTTGGATTCACCAATTAATGATGATGATGATGATACAGTAATAATAATTTAATTGCAAGTTTAATTAATTTCTTTTTTTGTTTTGTCGTTTGCAGGTGGGCACCCAGCAACAAGACAACACGCAAATCTACGTGATGAACAACTACTGCGGCATCGGGATCGACGCGGACCTGTGTCTGGGCTTTCACAATGCCCGCGAGGAGAACCCCAACAAGTTCAACAGCCGCTGGACCAACAAGGGCGTCTACGTCAAGCTCGGCATGCAAAAGTTGGTGAGCCGCAAGATGTGCAAGCTCTGCAAGGACCTGCACAAGCACATTGTGCTCGAGGTGGACGGCAAGCGAGTCGACCTCCCGCCAATCGAAGGCATCATCATTTTGAACATTCTCAGGTACACGTCGTTGAAATTGAAAACGAATTTTGTCTGACTGGCTGACTCAACCCCCAAATGAACCATGGAAAGGGCTACAGTATTACGGCTCTTGGTTCGTTGCGATGTCGATTTCAAACGAATTTCAGATGAATTTTTAGCACGCGACTCGAGTGCTAAGAATTGTGATGGCTCGTGCGGCACCACTCGTCTCGATTAGAAATTCATTGAAAGTCGTGGTAGGTTCATTGTACGATAGTAGTTGGACTTGGTGGGTGCCTTGGCTCGGCTCGACTCGACTCGGTGTGATCGTCGTTCATTTTAATTTTTTAAATCCTAAAATATTGCTCTTTTTTCCCCCTCCTTGGCAATTGCTATTAACCAAGGGAAGAAGAAGAAGAAGAAGAAGAAAGGGGGAAGGGGTTATTATTTGAAATGTGATGTGGAATTTGACGTGGATGCAAACATGGTTGATTGACAGTTGGGGCAGCGGGGCGAATCCGTGGGGCCCGGAGCGGGACGACCAGTTCAGCAAGCCGAACCACTGGGACGGGATCTTGGAGATCGTGGGCGTGACGGGTCCGTTCCACTTGGGCCAGATCCAGAGTGGGCTGCGGTCCGCCATCCGGATCGCCCAAGGCGGCCACATCCGCATCCGCGTCAATTCGGACGTGCCCGTGCATGTGGACGGCGAGCCGTGGATCCAGGGTCTGTGCGAGATCACCGTGTTGCGATCAGCGCTAAAGGTGATTATTCTCATCCATGCATTCTCTTTCTCGCTTTCTTTTCTTTATTTTTATTTCCTTCAATTGTATGCAATTGTTTCTTGAGAGACAAGAAACAAGACGTGGGAATGTCAAAAAGTAGGAAAAAGGTCTATGGTACGGTACTGCTGTAGATTCTGTAGAATAACGCGTCGAGGCGGGAAATGATTAGTGATTGATTTAATGAGCCAGTAAGTCCGGGTAACCTTGTGAAAGAAAGAAAGAAAAAAAAGAAAGCAAGTCTACTGAATCGTCGTCGTTTGTTTGTTGGAACCAGGCGACGATGCTCAAGAAACGCAAGCGACTCAAGCGCCGCAACACCGAGTCGCTCATGTCGGCGGGCATGAAGCCAGGGGCCGGAGGTTGCGGGGGACCCGGCGGCTGCAGCGGCACGTCATCAACGGCGGCGGGGGCGGCAACAACAACGGCGTCATCGTCGACGACGGGAGCGGCGGCCAACAACAACAACGCCAGCATGAGCAATGCGCAAGCCGCCCGACTAGACTCGCCGGGCAGCTCGTCCGAAGAGAGCGGCGTCCAGCAATAGGAAAGAAACACCCCTTGTCTTTTACTCGACATTCCCGAACATGGAAACAAAACAAGTACGTACCTCCCAGCCCCTCCCCTCTCTCGGTTCCGTCGACAGCAACAGAGTGTGTGCCAAAGGAAAGGAGCCAGCGACGAGATGATTATGTCGTGACTGCACAAGGGAAAGAAAAAAGAATCAGGAGCAGAGCCTCTTGGTCGTAATGAAGAGGAAGAAGAAGAAAAAAATAAAAGAAAAAGAAGGGGGCATAAAATGAAGAAGGAATGGAAAGAAGGAAAAAAAAAAGAAAAAGTACAAGTCAAGTCTCCTGACTGACTCGCCTCGCCTCCGAGTATTTGAAGCCGACATATTGTGCCACAAAGGAAAATGAAAATGTTACTGATGATTCTTGGGGATCGAAGACGCGGCGGGCAAGCGGGGTGACTGGTCGGGGCAAAGGGGACGGAGAAGAAGAAGAGGAAGAATGAGACGAGATCAGAAAATGTCAGTATTTGTTTCCCGCGGTTTTTTTTTTTTTTTTTTTTGCCAAATTGTTTCCCGCGCGCCAAAAAGAAAAAAAAAANTTTTTTTTTTTCTCGCCAAATTGTTTCCCGCGCGCCAAAAAGAAAAAAAAAAGACGGACACGAAAGCACAAGCGAGGATGGATGGATGGATGGATGGACGAACGGACGTGTGTGTGTGTGTGTGTTTGACTGGCTAAATGAGTGAGTGATTGATTTGATTTATTGGTTGGTTGGTTGGTGTGCGAGCTTTGGGTTGGGACAGCCTCTTGTGTGTGTGTGTGTGTGTGTGTGTGTGTGTGTGTTGGTGCTCGGCAGTGCCGATCCCGCTCTTTGAAACTGCGCAGGCCCCGCTGCTGCTTCAACCTTTCTTTTTTGGTCTGACACGCACATGCCTTCTTTGTTTTATGGGTCTGCGAACCTTGGAAGAATACTGTACTCGTAACTCTCGAGCTGCTGCTTTTATTTGGGATCCACTGGAGAGTCGGTCATCCGCAGGGAAACGAAAACCCGAAATTGAGAATAAATTGGCGTCAATCGAATCAATCATCGGTGCCGTGTTGAAAAGGGTCTCTCTCCGTAGTTGGGTCCCTGATGATGAAGCAGGACTGTTGCCATTAATTCGACTCGCTCGTTGAAGCACCGGTGTCGCGTGAAGGGTCTGCGTGTGGCAGGAGGAGCAAGAAATAAAAACCGTCGCCGTTTCCTTAGTTGGGGCTCAGTCACCTTGTCGGCAAGAACTACCGAGACTACTCTCGATTCATTCATTCATTCAACCAACCATCCATCCATTGGTTCCATCTCTGGATGAGTTTCTATTCTTTTTCATTGGTCTTGTGTGTGTTCTCATCATTCAATTTCTTGCCAGCTTTTGCTGCCGAGGTGATTTTTTATGACTGGGAAACGAGGGACGGGGAGCTGGGATCTTGAGCCTGTCGAGTCAAGCAAGCCGAATGAAATCATTTTCTGGGCAGGGTGGGGGAAAGGGGAGAAGGCAGAGCAGTACAATATTGTACATTTTATTGTAATGTCCTGTCTCTTCATCTCTTTCTTTCTTTCCATCTGTCTGGTCTGGTCTGGTCTGTCTGTGTCCTTGTCTGGTTCACAGCATCGTGGTGGAGGGTGGTTTTACTCTCGCAGTTATCTAGATGTCGCGTCCTGTCTATGCTACTCCTCCATATGAAAATTGAGACGCGTATCGTTCCTTGAAGAGGGTCGAGGAAATGGGGAGGAGGAGGAGGAGGAAGAAGTCAACAAATCTGTAGTTCGTTGGTTGGTTTCTTTTCCTCGCTGCTTCATCTATTTAATAATTTTTCCCTTCTTTCTTTTCAATCGTTTATTTTGAAATATTTTTAGTTGGCTGTCGTCGATCGTAACCCGTGTGTAATAGTACTATCATCATCATTATTATTATTATTGCTGTTGTTGTTGTTGTTGTTTCGAGCTTCACTCACGATCTCGTTTTTTTTTTTCACTTTACTTAGACGCGGCTCAGAGGCAGTGTGTCGTTGTAATTCAATTTATTTCCATCCCCCCGGTTTCGTCGTCTCAAAGTTCTCGTGAATCAAAAGAAAAGAGAGAAGCGCATTTGACTGCGGACGGTGCGGTTGCCGGATCAAAAGCGTGCTGAAGGTGTGAGAGGAGGAGGAGGATTTGAGTTGCATTCGTACAATAGTGTGTGACGCCGTTTTCTTCCGCGTGCTTTGTTGTTGTTGTTGTTGTCTTCGTTTCTTTTGCTTCGGTTTTTTTGTTTTGGTTTTTTCAGTGTGTGGTGCCCTGTTCCCCGGGGTTGAGTTACCACCCGAGTCAAGCAAGAAAGAGTCAGTTCGTCAAGTCAGGCAGACACCAATTCGTTGTGTTCTTGTTTTGCGTTGGAAGACATTCCGAAAGCGTCGTGTTCTACCTCGGTTGGTTACGGAAAACAAAGAAAAGGTGTTCATTTTTTTTTTTCCTCGGTCATGATCTAGTCACAAGAAAGCAGCTGGGCGATACTTACGGATGGTTGCCAACTAGCCCTTGTTTCAATCTTCTTTTTTTTTTTTTTTTTACATAAAGCTTTCCTGCGTTGTTTTGTTTTCAATTCTTTTCTTTTTTTGATGTTGAGTTGACGGCAGTTGTGTGCCGGACGAAAAGGTGCGGGCGGTAATGGGGGGAAAAAACCAGGAGGAGTGTGAGTGTGCATCAATTACCGCCGGATACTTGTTGAACTGGGCTTGTGTGGTTGAACCGCCGTGAAGTAAAACCACCAACTTGGATAAAACCTTGCGTTTATGACTTACTTGAGTGATTCCTCGTTTGGTATGTTGGATGTGTGTCTCCAAGATTGATTGCAGCGACCCCTGTGTATATATTTTATAAACAGAGTGATCCTGTATAGAAGGGGCTCTGCGCAACCTGTCAAGAATCCCTAGTTTGATTCCAGCAATGCTCATGCTCAAAATGATCATCAGGGGAACCGATCCTATTCACGATGTACCAGTACCTTGAATTGGAATGCAATGACATCTACCTTAGAAAAGAAGAGGAAAGTTATTGTGTAGAAGATATTGTGATTGGGAAGGCGCGAAATCCAGTATTGATTAAAGTGAAACTTATGTAAAAAGTTGATAACAAACGACACTTGTTAATGTTCAGGATTACAGATGTCGAAAGCATGAAGAATTGATATCAATGACACCTATGTTGGGTTTAAACAAACTACTTCATCTTATTCATGAAATTTTGTTATAGATGTCGTAAACTCGTGAGGATCGAAAACAGCGTCATCTATTTTTGCAAAAAAGAACAAGTCAATATTGTTTACTTAATTATTATATAGATGTCAGGCATTGTTTATACGATTACGGCGACTTCAATGTTCAAAGTAAGAGAGCAGCAAGAACCTGTTGACTGTTTTGTGCTATAGGTGTCGCGTTTTCAATGCAACACGCGTGTGAGTATGTATGAACATCGGTGTTGCAGTTGCAGAAATCAAGGCAGACACGATATTGATTTTGGTTTCGTCTCTTCTGATTTATCCCCCAGATTTTTTCAAAAAAAGAAAAGTACAGATGTCCAGTGTAATACTAGGCATTCCAATTTTTGTTTTGTATTTTCGTTCCTTGTTAACGAGATGAACAGAACATTCAATGATTCACGTCTTTTTCTATACTGTACACTGTACCTTCCGCCAATCACGAAAACGTTTAACTTTCGGTCGTTCATGAGCTCCGTTTGCATTTAGAGAAAAGCTGATGTCTTTCAGTACTTGTCATGCGCTGCATTATTCTGATCCAGGTGCGAGATCATAAAGATTGAAATAAGAACGCTACTGTATTTCCAGTTCCTTGCCTGTGTCCGCGTCGCAGAGGAAGAGAGCGTTCCAGTTAAATTTCGGCTCCACCTCTTTTTTCAGCTTTGAGTCCCGCAATGCTCATCTCTTCACAGCCTATATATCTGCCCTCTGAAACGCATACCTTGATTTGGTTTCGTATCCCTTTATTCAAGGTGCCCAGGACAAGGGACGTCAAACAAAATACCACGTCTCCAGAACGTCGCCAAACCAAAATCCCGCCGTTTTAAACGTTCACCAAGAGTATGAATTATCCCTTTTGAGTTGACCAAAGTACACGTTTAATTGAAATTGGCAGTGTGGAGGTTGAATGAACAGTTCCTAGAGCTGTGTTGAAATTCAGATGAGGCATAAAAAAATTGGCGAGTTTCGCAAAACAAACTACTGGAGCATATTTAGCTGTATACTGTAGTTTCAAAAGTCCAAGGCAATGTATGCAATTAATTTGCACTCATGAGAGCGTATTAACATGAACATAGCAGGGTGGAACCTTATGTCTCTCTAAATGAGCATGATTCATTCACAACGGTTGATTTAATTCCACGCTAGATTCACATAAAATGCTTCAGATTATTATTCTTTTATTTTCGTTGAGGTTGCGAGACTTTTCTCAAATCAAACGAATTTGCAGAATGTGCGGCTTTATGGTCGTAATACGTTTGTAGGGAGCCAAGATACGTCTTGTCCTTCGAACAAATCTGGAAGCGGACAGTTTGTTGTGCTGCAACTGCAACTCGGTAATGCTGTTCGAAGCAGTGTAGGGACTGCCTGAAGTCCGTTGATGCGGATTGTTTCGATTCTGAATTTAACTGACTAATCTGAGCGACTGTAACTTTGAAAAAATTGAATGTTTTTGAAACTGTGATCGAAGCGCCAAGAACGTGTTCATTTTGCCCGAGAGGTGCAGTACTGTACCGTTTTTCTTATGCCGTTAGTGTGTCGCTATCATGATTCAATCGGTTGATGCGACCTGGCGAGTTGTTCGTTCATCGTGAGAAGAATATGAATGGAATGATTTGACGATTTTCCATGTTTCAGAGGAATTGTGCATCTTTTGTGTGGCATGATGAGTAAGAAGCTGGCATTAAGGAAACGCCGAAATCCACCGTTCTCGGCCGTGATGGTAAGTAATTGTTTGTCGGGGGAAATCTAAAAGAAATAAGTTAGGCAGTACTTGGGTACTCTATGGATGCAATATAGTTTTATCTCCGCGGGCGATGTACAGTATAGTATCTCCGGTGTGTTGGTTCGATTTCCGGCGAATGTGAAAGAAGTGACCCGGGGTCTGTGGGCTTCGTCAATAATCAATGCGTATCCTCACCCAGAAAGTGTTTGGAATGTCTGCGCATTGTCGCACGCGAAGTCGAGACGATGATTTCCCCCCGCCTTATACTTGTTTTTTGGTAGTTTGAAGCAGCCCCATTTGATGTTATCGCAGCACCGGCCGGAAATCCCTTCCTTCCTTCTCTTCAGTCGTAATCTTTTGCCCCACAGTAGCGTCGAAGTAAAGGAATATTGAATTGATTTGGGAGGGCCATAAGCGATGAAAATAGCGCAACGGACTTGTTTATACCATGCAGTGCTGTTCAGTGTTCCAAGTGCGTGAGTGATTGCCATCCGTCACCGTGTTGCGAAGGCGTTCGGAATTTTACCGTTTTATCGTTGGGTTATCTGGGGACGTCGTACGTATGTATGAGTACTGAGTTTCTCGCACCATGTGTGGTGCGCCGGTCCCTGTATTCCTTTTTCATCGACAACGTCGAGGTTGGAAAAAGCAAATGCATTTCCATACCGTACCGCGGTTTAGTTGATCAGTCGTTGGCGTAGTGGAGAAAGAAACGTTTTTGCGGGATAGTCGCTGCGCCGAGACAAACTCGGTAATGATGTTTGTTTGTAGAAGTCGGGTCACGTTCGGTTCGCGGGCTGCGACGTCGTCCCAGCGCGTTTGGGTTCCGGGTTGGAACAACTGGGGAAGGCAGTGATTTACCGGGCCCGATTCCTAGCTGTACTGTACATTTACTCGTACTCGTACTGCAGGCTCGAATGCGATCCGACGACTCTTCACTGGACAACGGAGACGGAGAATGCTGTGTTCAGCACCGGACGAGGATCCGAGTAGTGGACGAGCTTTTCACGAGGAGGAGCATCAGTTCTCTGTCAGGTGTGTGAACTTCACGTTCTATACACTCCCAGCTCGAGTCAACTCAATCTTTCAATCCCAATGATTTCCCGTTCAGTGCGAAGTGTTTTGTTTCGACATTCGGTATTTTATTTTGTATGATCTTGACTTTTATAGGAGGATTTTTTGTGTTTCTGTGAAGATTCCACAATTCATTGTGCCCTCAGAGTGTAGAATTTATTTATTATTCTTAAACAGTTGTATGCTGTGATTTAGAGAAATTAAAAGTGTATTCTGTGTTCTGTTTTAATTTGGGAGATGTGTTTGGATTTTCAGCTGTTTTTTTGTTTGTTTTTTTTTCTCCGTTGGGGAGAATCTGTCGTTGAAAATTGTGGAAGTAAGACGGGTTTCTTTTTCTCTCTTCTGCGAGTTTCCCTTCCAAGTGGGGGGTAATAAGAAAAATGAGGCATTCAAGAATTATATGATATAATGAAAATACAGTACAGATTCCTAAGATGGGGGATGAAAGCTTGAGGATTTTTTTTCCAATCCTCGAGACCAAATTGAAACTACTCTTCAGGGCAGGGTACTTCGAAAATCCTCGCAGAAGTAATGTACTGTTGCCGTTGTCTTTCTTTCCCCCAAGGGTATTGCTGAAATTGTTTAAAATTACTGTTGAAGAAAATAAAATAAAGGAAAGAAAGTTTACGATTGATCTTATCCCTTTTATTCCTCTGTTTTTTTTTTTTTCTTTTCTTTTTTTTTTTTGTGTGGAAAAATAGCAAAACGGAGGAACGGGAAAATGCGAGGCAAGATTCCCGAGGGAGGAGTGAATATACTCAGCTGAACCAATATCGCCTGAAGGAGAACATCGGCCAGGTGCAGTTTATTGTACTGTATATTGTGCCTTGCACTTTGTATGCAGAGCAGACTCGAGTGCATTCTTGAAAGCTTTCGCCTGGAAGATCGGATGTGGGGGTCATGTGCAACTTTTCCACATTTTATTGAGGAAAACGAGCGCCGAGCAGAATGCAAAGCTCATTCTGTTTGTCGCTGTTGTTGGTCAATAGTACAGTAGGGAAAAGTGTCCGCCACTCGAAACACGACTTTTAGTGTGGCACTGTATACAATATGTAGTGCTACACTCGACTGAAGTAAGTCCACGAATGGACGAGAGAAGGAGAGTGCGTGTCTTTGTGTTGGATTTTTTATCCGATGTTTGGGGATAGCCTTCGACGTGGACTACTGACTTGTGTGTTTTGCGACTCGTGCATAATTTAGTGGGGAGCTTTTGTAAGTGCTCTAAAAGCCTTGTTTTCCGATGGATCATTTTAGTCAGTGTGTAGCACCAATGCGCCTAGGTTTTTCCTTTTTTTCGATGGAGTAGAATGAATTTGTATGCGTACCGTATTTATTTTTCTCTCAGGGATCGTATGGGATCGTGAAGCTGGCCTACAACTTGGAAGATGACACTCATTACGTGAGTAATAGAACGTGGCGTTTTCTTCAATTCCTTCAATCTCTTTGAACATGTATTATTTTGCTGTCCTTCATTCTTTGTTTGTTGGCTTGCTAACCTCCCTACCTCCCTCCCTCCCTCTTTCGTTCTTGATGCAGGCCATGAAGATTTTGTCCAAGAGAAAACTCATGAAGAGAGCCGGGCTTTATGGTGAGTGTGCATGTGTCGAGTGTTTGTTTGGCATGTGCGACACGCCTACATTTTCCGAGCATGTATTGAAATATTTTGAAATACTCTACAGTGCTGTAATTCCGCAGGTCGGCCGACTCCGGCGCGTTTCCTGTCTGCTCAAAGCCCGTCCTCTGGCGGCTTGTCCCTGACGAGGAGCATTTCTCCGGGGCCGCCCGAGATGGCGAGGTCGGCGTCGGCTGCCGACAGATGCCCGAGTTTCGTCCACAGTGGCAGCAGTGGCAGTGGGAGTGGCAGCGAGCGGGGCCAGCACCCCATGGACCAGATCCGGAGGGAGGTGGCCATTCTCAGGAAGCTCGACCATCCGAACGTGGTCAAGTTGGTGGATGTGTTGGACGATCCAGACGACGACAACCTTTACATGGGTATGTAGGAAGAGAGAGAGAAAGAGAATGAAATGGTCCATTTTCTGCATTTTTGTTTGTTTGTTTGTTTGTTTGCTGCAGTTTTCGAATTATTGGAAAGAGGAGAGATCCTCCAAGTGCCGACTGATGAGCCGCTGGAGGAAAGCGTGGCGAGGTCGTATCTGAGGGACATTGTGCAGGGGCTAGAGTATTGTGAGTGTCTTGCCGCCATCGTCATTATCGATATCATCATCATCATCATCATCATGAAAAAGAAAGGAGAGATGGGTGATTCTTTTTGCAGTGCACTCGCAGAAAATCATTCACAGAGACGTGAAGCCGAGCAACTTGTTGTTGGGAGAAGACGGACGCGTGCGGGTGGCCGACTTTGGCGTGTGCAACGAGTTCAGCGGATCGGACGCCCTGTTGACCAGCACGGCTGGCACGCCGGCCTTTCTGGCCCCCGAGGCCCTCATGCTCACTCCTCGACTGGCGGGTGCCGCTGGTGTTTATGGCGGCAAGGTGAGGAGGAAAAATGAAATGCATGTGTATTGTGCTGTATGTTGATAGTTTCGATGGGTTTTTTTTTCATCTTTTTTTTTCACGTCAAGGCTGCTGATGTGTGGTCTCTGGGCATCACGCTTTACGCCTTGGTGTTTGGGGACGTGCCCTTTCGCGACGACAGCATCTTAGCGCTTTACGCGAAAATTGCCAATCAAGAGTTGACCTTTCCTGACGAGCCCGTCACCTCTCCGCAACTGAGACATTTAATCTCCAACATGTTGTCCAAGGACCCGCTGGTGAGGATCACCATTGAGGAAATCAAGGTAAACTTCTTAAACCCGCGCTGTGGTATGATATGTAAGAGCGACATCTGCCCATGTGATGTGCTAGTAGCATCAGATCATGGGCGTGTTTGTCTGGACTAGGTGGCGCTGTAATGCAATGTACTGTACTGTACGTAGTCGGGAGACACGACATCCATTGTTGCGGGCGGTCATTAATTTTATTAACCTGTACAGTATTTTTGTTGTTGTTTTGGCTGTCTTTCTCAGGATCACCCGTGGGTGACGGCAAACGGCACGGAGCTGTTGCCTGCAATCTCAACATTCGAAGGAGAGTCCGTGTTACATCCTCATCACGGAGTGGTGATTCGAGTGACCGAGGAAGAAGTGCGGTGCTCTGTGCGGTCCATACCCAAGCTGGACACGCTGATCCTCATCAAGGCCATGTTGAAGAAGCACTCGTTTCGGTACCCGTTTGCGTCTTGCAACGACCAAAAGGGGGAGAGAAGAAGAAGAATAATGAGGAGGGGGAAAGGGCAGGAGATTGTTGAAGAAGACGAGCTCGAGGAGGAGGAGGAGAATGATGATAATGATGATGACGACGACTCTGCGGCATTTGTTTCGAGTAACTAGAAGAAAGCCGCCAAGAGAAAAGAAAAAAAAAATTGAAATTAATTTGAAGCAGCCCTTTTATTCTTTTTCTTCTGCTCTGCTCATACTTGAGAATAGAGCAGGCAAACAAGCAAGTAAAGAGTGACCCGAGTTTTGTGTTGACTTTTACTTTATTAAACAAGTCCCGTGTGTTTATTTGTTTGGTTTTTATTTATTGATTTATTTTTTCCTGTAATGGGAACCCTACTAGTTTTGCTCTCTTGTGGTGGCTCATTTATCCTGTTCAATTGACTGTGCGGAGAAATTTTCTTTGGCTTGCAGGCAAACAAGTGTCTTGACAGTGTGTGCGTGTCTGTCTGTCTGTGTTTGTTCTTGGGCCATGGAAGCCTCGTTTGTGATTATCGGAGGCGGTATTTCGGGCGTGACTTGTGCGGAACAGGTGAGTCACGGTAGTCGAAGGTCCATTGTTGCATGATGAATGCAATGCGTGTGTTGTGTGCGAGCAAAGGTGTATGCGTTGGCGCCGCAGGAAAGCGTGGTTCTCATCACCGCGTCGCCCGTTGTCAAGACCGTGTCGAATGTGAGCCGACTCACGCGCCACCTGGAAGCCTTTGACGTGTCGGAGAAGCCCCTGGCGTGTCTGGAGCAGAAGCTGACGAACCTGACTGTCGTGAGGGGATTTGCGCACGAGATTGACGTTGACGCGAAAGTGAGTTGAATCCAAGAACCAAGTCGATTTGTTATACTGTACCGTAGTTTGATGGTTACTCAGTACAGTCCAGTATTTGTTTTGTCATGTCATCTTTTGTGTTGAATATTAGATCGTGAGGCTGGTCAATGGTGCAGAGGTGCGATACAAGAGGTTGTGCGTGACAACGGGCGGACAGGCCAGGATGGTGGCCCAGCATCCGCTCGTGCTCGGCATTCGGGACACAGAGTCGGTCCGCGTGTTGCAAGGCAAGCTGCGTGGCGCCCGGCGAGTCATGATCATTGGCAACGGCGGCATTGCGACGGAACTGGTGTGAGAGTTGATTTAGTTCTTTTGTGTGCACACCCACCCTGGTTCATTTGTCCTGGAAAAGGAATGTCCTATACTATAGGTTAGCTTATACTGTACAGTACTGTACTGTAATTGTCTTCAGATACGAACTCGAGGGCCTGGAAATTGTGTGGGCCATCAAGCACTCGTCCATCTCAGCCACGTTTGTGGATCCGGGAGCAGCCGAGTTTTTCCTCTCGAGGCTAGAAGGCAAAAGGAAGGGAAAAGAGGAGGGGGAGGAGGATGATGATGATGGCGGCGGCGGAGGTGAGGAGACGACAACGCGGACCAAGTACACGGTGTCTGGTAAGTACATGTGTGTGTTGAATTAATTAATTGATTGATCTAGTCAGTGTTCCCTTTCCTTCCTTTCCTTTCCTCGTAGTGCAGGACAGGAAGCCGGAAGGAGGAGCGTGTGGCAGTGCACTCGGGCCCGACTGGCACCACGACATGCTGTTGTCGTCGGGTGAGGGACACTCGAGTCGGAAAGTGGTTATTTTGGAGAAGGAATGCTGGTTGGACCGTCTGTTGAGTCCGGAAGAGGCCAAGTGAGTCGCCTCTGCATTTTTTGCTTTCTCGTCTCCTGTTGTTATTTTCACCCCGATTGATTAATTAATTAATCAATTGATTAATTAATTGAAAAAGGGGGGAGGAAACAACTGGCGATTGGCCTGTGTTTGTCAAGCTCAGCAACGGGAAGGTGTACGGCGTGGACTTTGTGGTGTCGGCGACGGGAGTGGAGCCGGTTGTGCCCAAGGTGGTCTCGGGACAGTCGATGGCCCTGGCCATGGCGCCGGATGGCGGCATCTTGGTGGACGACCGACTCAGGTCCAGTGTGACGCATGTGTTTGCTGCCGGCGATGCTTGCACTCCCAACTGGCCCCTGGCCAAGCACTGGTTTCAGGTGAGGAAGGAAAGAGAAAGAGAAGCCTAGGAATGTTTTTTTTTGTTTTTTATTTCTCCATTCATTCAGTAGATGCGCCTGTGGAGTCAGGCCAGGACCATGGGTGCCTACGTGGGGCGGTCGATGCTGGCGGACCTGAAGCAGGACGAAGGGGAAGACGACGCTCTCATGGAGTTTGCATTTGAAATATTCGCCCACGTGACGCAGTTCTATGGCTACAAGACCGTGTTTCTTGGCCTGTTTAACGGCCAGGGCCTCGGCACTGACTATGAAATCCTGCTCCGAGTCACGAAAGGTGACTGATTGTTTGTAGAGAGAGAGAAAAGATTTAGCATTGGATTGGATTTACTGCACGGTATTATTATTATTATTATTATTTCTGTCATTGTTTTGGGACAGGAAGAGAATATGTCAAGACTGTGATGCAAGACGGGAAAATGCAGGGAGCCCTGCTCATTGGCGACACCGGGCTGGAGGAGACGTTTGAGAACCTGATTTTGAACCAGTTGGACTTGAGTGTTTATGGAGAGGATTTGTTGGATCCCGGCATAGATATTGAGGATTATTTTGATTGACTGATTTGGTCGATAGTTTTGTCTTCTTTCCCACCCCGTCACACCCTACCTCCCTCCCTCCCTCCCTCTATTTACTGCACAGTGTACAGCGGTGCCTCGCACTACAAACGTAATTTGTTCCAGAGCTACGTTTTTAGTAGTGCGATACATTTGTAATGCGAGTCACTATTTCCCATAGACTTGTATGGGAAATTCTTTAATTTGTTCCAAGAGACAAGAACAAATTTTTCCTGGAAAATAACAGTTTGATACTGTTTTTGTTTGACCCTTGTCACAATACAGTATGTGATGACAGTTATTTGACTGTCGTCACATGTGACAAATGCCACACAAATCACAACACAGAAATTTGATCTGTGTTCAAAGTTTTTCTGAGACTATTGTCTCAGAACACAGAAATTTGTCTGTACTACGAGAAAAAAAAAAACCTTATTTGTAGTACAGTACAGTACAAAATTTGTACTGCTAATAAGGGTGAAGATTCACCCTTTGTTTGTAGTACATAATTGGTTTGTTCTGCAGGGGTAAAAATGGCGGATTTTCCCCCCACAAAAAAAAAAAACCGTTCGTACTATGGGGTGTTCGTAGTGCGGGGTACCACTACAAGTTTTATTTTCGAGTCAAGAAAACGGCAAAGAAATGTCTGTCTGTCTTTTTCCACAGACACACACAGGGCTTCGGGTGGGTGTCATTGTTTTTGTTGAAAGCTTGTGTGGTCAGTGATGGCAGTGGGCAGTGGCTCGCTCAGGGGCCTGTTGAGCCAATACCTGAGTGATGATGATTCCGAAGAAGAAGAAGATGCAGCACAAGTAGGGGGAGATGATGTTGATGCTGCTTCTCGGGAAGCCGAGTCTCTGGCCTCGGGCTGGACATCGGTGCAAGACCCTGCTTCTGGCTGCTTCTACTACTGGAATGCCGCGACAAGCAAAGTGACGTGGGAACGACCGATGGCAACGGCAGCAGACGGGGTGGGGGTGGGACGAGGATTGAACAGCACAACAAGTCACTTCTCTGCTCCTACACCTCCGCTCTTGCCGGCATATGCCCGAGAAGACGCGACTCCAGGATCCTTGGCAACAAGTTTTGATGATACCACCACAATGACCAATGTGAAGGGCATTAGTAGTAGTAGGAGTAGTAGTAGTAGTAGTAGTAGTAGTATGAAGAGTAGTAGACTGCCTTCCTGGGCTGGAAAGACAGTTTCTGAACACACATTCATTGTGGAGGGCAGCAGTGGGACAAGTGGAGGCCCGTTGCAGGGCAAGTGGGGCTACTTGAGTGAGCCAAGTCGAGTGGATGAGTTGCTCCACTCTGCTAGGAAACCACGTGGTGATAGTGATGAAGATGATGATGATGTTGTTCTTGTTGATGGCAACAGCAAAAAAGAGGAGAAGGAGAAGGTTGTGGAAGAAGGGCATGATTGTAGAAGAAGTCAGGAGAAGAAGGCAGAGGAGGAGGCGGTGGTGTTGTTGTCAAAAGCCGAGGCTGTGACAAAGCGGATCTTGTGCCTGGTGCGATGTGACGTGGATGCCACGGAAGCCGCTGTGATCTTGCTCTTCCAGCTCAAGGTTAATATGACTGTATTATTAATAATAATCTTTGTTTTTATCACGCAAGCATCAAGTGTGCAGTACAGCTAGTTTGGAAAAAAAGAAGGAAGGAGAGGAGTACTGTACAGACAGTTTGGTAGAGCACGATGAAATGGAAATGACGCGCATTGTTTTCCAGGTGCTGGTTGACGCGCTGGAGAAGCGATGTCTGGATCCCGTGTATCTCACCGAGTGGCTCGTCAACTCGGAGGAGTACTTTGCAGAGCTGGAGCAACAGGCCTTGCCGGCTGCTTGGAAGGCGGAATGGAAGGGGTTAGTTGATGTCATGTGTGGAATGGATTCCTTTCCATATCTTCTTCTTCTTCATCTTGTTGTACACCAGCCTTGTACATTTCTCTCTCTCTCTCCCTCTCTCTCTCCCACAAACACACACACACACGCATGATGGGAGGGGGCCATGATGCGTCATCATTTCTTTCCACTAGAGTAATTAGAGAGGATCAGTTCTGTCTGTTCAGTAAGTACTGTACTGTATGTAGCCAGCAGTGTGTTTGAAAAATAAAATAAAAGAGAGAGAGAGAGAGAAAACTACTCTTTATCCTGAGAAATGAATTGAAGGAAAACAAGGACAATACCACTTGTTGTGGAGAAGGAAGGAGGGACTCGGATGAATGTAATATTTGATTGGTGAGTGTGTGTTTCGTTTTCTTTTCCATTTGCTTTCAATTACTTGTGCTTGTGTAACCCTCGTTGAGAAGATTCGGTGTACAGTACAGTATACCAACTGAGAGGGCACAAAAAAAAAGAAAGAAAGAAAGAAAGAAAGATGGTCTTTGGACTAGAAGGAAGGAAGCAAGCAAGCAAGCAATCAATCAAACAAACCACTTGCTTCTCAGCAGGTATATTTGTTTATTCATTCATTCATTCAGTCTGTCAGTTGTCATCTGAGTCATTTCAGAACTTCTTCTCACGCGTTCTCTCTTGATACAGTAGGACAAGTCCTATTAATTCTTCGTCGTTGTTGTTGTTGTTGTTGTTGACTTTGGAAAGAATATTCGAGAATGGTTTTTATTGAAACGTGTTTTGGTTTCTCGTTTTCAGCACTTGAAATGCCCAACTGTGTGATTGGTGGACGCCTGACAGACACAGATTCCCTGGACAAAGGGTGGTATCCTATTTTTTTTTTTTTTTTTGTCCCCGAGAGTCCAGTTCAGTACAGTATTCTTGGACCTCGTTTGCTTGTCTATCCGCATTTTTTTTTTCTTCTAAAATTCGCATAAAAAAGCAATGGAAATGCAGCGATTATCTCTACTATAGGACATACATTATTATGACTGGCTTGGCAGAAAAGTGCTTAGTTTGTTGAAGAATGAATGAATTGCACATTCATAGCAATACAAATGCTGAATGCGAACCGCTTCCCAACCGTTTCCTTTTCTCCCTCTACTCCTGTCCTTCTCTTCTTCTTCTTCCTCTTCTTGTTCTTGTTGTTTCTGTCTTTCCTTGTTCCTCCTCCTCTGCTGCTGGCAATTGTGCACAGGAAAGAAGAGCAGTATGCATTCCTGAATGCGGAGACGGGCAAGACGTTGACTGGCACGCTGAGAGACCTGCTTGAAGCTCTGGATAAAGCTGGTTGGTTTGTTTGTTTGTGTGTGTGTCTGTCTGTCTGTCTGTCTGTCTCTTGTAAACCCCTTGTGCTCTGATTCTTCCTTCAGACAAACCACCTTGTCCTCCTCCTCCGCCTCCTTCCTTGCCCCCACCACCACCATCATCACCACCACCACCACAGCCCGAGCAGCCAGAGGAAGTTGATCCGTTGATGGCCGAGTTCTATTCAGAGCTGAATGTTCCGTTGGTGGCGAGAGAGAAAACTCGGCAGCAGCAGGAACAACAACAATCATCATCATCAGTGACACTTGGAGAGGAGGAGGAGCAGCAGCAGCAGCAACAACAACAGCAGCAGCCAGACATGGACATTGAGGAGGAGGAGGAGGAGGAGGAGGACAGCAACAAGAGTCCCTGCTCCAACTCTTCTGGTTCGGAGGAAGAGATTCACGTTGGCAGCCAAGTCTCGACGTCTCCAATTCCTGCCGCCACCAACACCACCACCAGTCAGCCTGAAAAAGTGGCGGTGAAGCCGTCGAGGAAAAGAAAGGTTAATGAGTCGAGTTTCACGTTTCTCGGGCATGGTTGAAAAAGAATTGAAAGACGTGTGTTTATTGTATTTCTTTGTTTTGTGCAGGCAAAACCTGTCAAGATACGAAATTTGGCGCTGCAACGAAAGAACATGTCGTCCATGGTGGCCAAGTGGCAAAAGGTCCAAGACAGCTAGCTGACTGACCAACTCTCTATCTCTCCCTATCTTTGTATATTTTGATTGATTCATCTTGGTTTTTTTTATTATTATTATTGGTGCATATTTGCTTGTTTGTTTGTTTGTTTATTTGTTTGATGAATCATTCAATTTCTTTTCCCCCTGATTCATTCAAGTTCATGTTTCTTCGTCTTTTTGTCTGGCTGAGTTGGGATTGAGAAAATAAAGGGTGTGTCTCTCCATGAGCAGAATTGATGACGCTTTCATTCATTCATTCAATCATTTGAATCGCATGCAAGTGGCCTTCCTGTAAAAAAAAATTGACCCGTGTGTTGTGCTCGTTTCCAGGAATATGCGGACACCATGGGGTGGCAGTGGTGGTGTTTGGCTGAGTCGACAGTGGGCAAGCACGAGGTGCTTTTTGAGTCGGGGCATCAGCAGCAGCAGCAGCAGCCACGGGATATTGAAAAGCAGAGAGCACGTTCAAGTGACGGCGACGAGTCCTCGGGCATCCTTGAAGCATGAATTGCAAGTAGTGGCAGTGGCGGAACCTGTCCCTGGCATCAAGCACGTGACGTTGGGCCATGACACGGTGCACTTTCTTCCGGGCCAATGGTGCGTGTTTTTGTTCGTTTGTTTCTCTTTTCTTTCTTTTTGGCTGTCTTTGTCAGGACATGTGTGTTCTCTCTCTCCCCTTTTTCCAGGTTGGACTTGTGGGTCCCTGGATTGCCGTGGGTCGGAGGCTTCTCCATTGCTTCTTGCCCGCAGCCATTGTCGTCGTCGTCTTCTTCTTCTTCCTCCTCTTCTTCTTCTTTACCTGCCAAACCCACTGCGAGTATCGGCTGCAACACAATAGAGTTGCTAGTGAAAAAGTCCAGCTGGCCCGCAGCATCCTGGGTCCACAGTGATGAGGTTGGCCTGGTCTTTTCTCACTGCTGGTGCTGACGAAGCTTGATTGCCTTTTTCTTGGTTGGTTGGCTTGTATAGTGTGTCCCAGGGACCCGAGTGTGGGTCCGAGTCGGTGGGTCCTTCTTCTACAGCGAACAAGCACATGGCGCCCGACCTGTGCTCCTGGTGGCAGGCGGCGTGGGCATCAGTCCGCTCTTGTCCATCTGGTCCCACCTCATCCGGCGACGGCAGGACCAAAGCGAGTTGTTGTCGTTGTCAAACTCCTCTACTACTAGTAGTGGTAGTAGTACCACTACTAATACCACCACCACCACCACAACAACAACAAACAGCAGCTGCTGCCCTCCTTTGAAGCTGGCCCTTTTGTTCTCGGCCAGAACGGAACAAGAACTTGTCTTCAAGGTTCGATTCCTCATCTTGCCCTGTGCTATCATCATCATCACCGCTCTGATTGATTGATTGATTGATTGCCTGTTTGTTTGTTTGTTTGTTTGTTTGTTTCTTTCATTAGGATCGGCTATTGCAAGAGGCTCGAGAGTCGGGGAATATGTGCAGACTGTTTGCGTCGAGGAGCAACAACAGAGACTACTCCCGTTCCTGTTTGATACAACACCGGCGGATGACGAGTGCTGATGTGGACGAGGCCTTGACTTTCCTCGCTGACCCGCCGGTTGTGTTCATTTGTGGCCCGCCTGCCATGGCCGAGCGGGTGGCCCAAGAATACCTGCCTTCTTTGCCCAAGGAGGATGTGTTGTATGAAAAGTGGTGGTGATGTGATTTATGATGCCGACCCAGAGGGACATGATTCCCAAGGCATACAGCAATTGTTTGTTCTGTTGGTTGATCTCCCGTCAACGTTACGTGACAGTACAGCTGCAGTTGGGAAAAAAAGAAAAAAAAAAAATTGGAGGCTGAAGGAAAAGTGCTGCAAAGACGGGGACAGTACGTGACAAGTGGAAAACTCGGTATAGTGAGTTTTTATACAAGCATTTGTTTCTTGTTTTCTTGCTCATCTTCATTAAACTCTAGTCATTTCCGTGTTGGGAGAAAGATATTTTCACGAGCTTGTGTAAGCTGCTGTTTTTGAGTCAGTGCATTAATTGCGAACGTGTAATTGCAATTCCTGCTCGACTTATTGGTGTGTTCGACTTGGTGCGAAAACGTAGTTTGTTTTCTTGCGGATGTTGTTTTCGTCTCCCAGATTTTATTTTTATTTTTTTTCGTTGGTCAGGCTTGTCTCTGTTGTCTAAAAAGAAAAAAACCCATGCAGGATTTTAATATTGTGCGAAAAAGTTGCTCAGATGAGAGGCTTTCCCCCGAGTTAATTATGCTGATTTACCGTAGTTTTAAACCACAGTGATTGCAAACATTTTGCATATTATTTTCTCTTAATTTTTCTTGCGTGATTTAAAAATTTTTTTTAGTTGTACAAGTGCTGCCCGATTCTTCAGATTTTTATTACTGGGAAGAAGAATTCGATGCATATATGCCTTGCAAAAATTATAACTAACAATAATCAAATTTTCAGACTTTTCCTGTAAGATTTTCAGTTTCTTATCATTGTGCGTATTATTCTCCTTTTATTGCTGGAAATGGCTTCTCAGATTTTTCTTTTCGCACATTTTTTAAAGATATATTTTTCAGCGTCTTGATTTTAGTTTTTCAAAATAACAAGGTATCTTTTTTTAATTTACGAAGAAAATACTGTACTTGGTGCTTCGCGCTTTTATTTTTGTTTGAAATTGCGCGAACCGATAATTTATGTTGAAGGATTGAGTCATTATGGGAATTATAATTGAGCGAGGGAGTTGGAGGGGGGGGGGGGGGGAGTGGTCAATTTTGTTTTTGCGTGATGTGTCTCAGTTCGGGGGATTCATTTTTGATGGTTGGAACTTCGTAGATTCCTGGAAAATATTTCTTGATACAGTACATTAAAATGTGAGAAAGGAAATTTCAACTATCAAAAATGAATTCCCCGTTTTTTTTGGGAGAAGCGGCTTCGCGATGAAATTGTGTTTTTACAGGGACGTAACACGAATTTTTTAGTGTTGGACTTAGGGCGTTTTTTTAAATGATTTTTCGCCGAAAAAAGGAATGAATTTCGAGAAAATTTTATTTATTTTCATTTAAAATTCATATTTCAAATTAATTTGGAATTTATTTCAATGTTAAAAATTAATTAAAAAATTTGATTTTGAAATTCCAATCGTTTTTTTGAATTCAAGGAAATTTGGAATTAGTTTAAATTTGGAGACAGGTGTCGCTTCTTGAATGGTGTAATGAATTTGAACCAATTGTTTGATGGATAGCGTTTTTTTATTTTCAGTGCCAGATTAGAATATTTTCATAATTCTACATCATACACTCATTTGAAAGCAATGAGTATAATGCCATTGATCAAACAAACAGAAGACAGTGCCAAATTCGCGCAATTATGTTCTCCAGGGTTTTCTTGGATGAATTTCTTGCATGCCTTGGCAGCATCGTGGACGAAAGTTTTGGCAGAATAAGTTGGTCCATGTGCTTTGGGTCCAATTTTGTTTCCATCCCAATTCATGCATCGTCCCCTGGTGTTGCACAATGGCGACGTAGTAGTAAGGCGTTAGTTCCATGGTTGGCAGTTGAGATTCAGATTTCGCCTGCTTTTCCATCAGTTCCTTGTAATCCTTGAGTGCAGTAACACGGGCTTCCGGGGTTTGGTCCTGGTTGCAGTCATCCTCGAACTTGGCGAGAATGGCTTCTCTCGGCAATTGGAACTGTTAGAGTGGGAAAAGTAAACGAACAGCTGATTCAGAAACCTTCAGTCAGGAATCATTGAAGATGGCAGCAGGGGTTCATAAAAGTCGAAAATTGCTTTCCTTGACAAAAACAAACATCTTGCTCTCCGCGAAACAAATAATTAGTGTTAATTTGGAAGGAATGTAAAACGTGTAGAAAATCGACCAAATTTTAAATTACGTTCATTAAGTATCGGACATCTTGTTCGACGTGACACGTGCAAAAGCAATGATTGATGCAATTGATGGTCAATTTTACGAGAACATATTCATCACAGGGCTACAAGGACATTTTCAGAGTGAATTGCAGGAATTCAGATTCTTTCATTACACTGTACATCGATCACCAACTTTAGGGATTTGTAAATTCCAAGAGACGAAAAACGAGAGATTCTAAGAAAATTAAGTACCTCAAACCTTATTCACACACCATCACTGTGCCACAGCATGGATCATTGCAATCGGTCCGCTCGCATTCGGGAAACTCTCCTTGACGAAGTAAATCTCTTTCGGCTCCTCACTTTCTCTTGTCCTGAAAATGTCCAGTGAACATGTATAAATACGCTCAATAAATAATACTCATTGCAAGATGCGACTCACAGTGGCTTGAAAGCTGTTTCGGAAATAGCAAGAGATACGCGTGAATGTTCGGCGGTTTCGGAGATATGGTCTCGCAAATGCGATCCACGTCGAGATCCGGAAAATCCACCATCTCGAAGTTCTCAGGCACGCCAGCTTCTTTCAAGAATTTGTTGATCACAGCCATTGGGTTGGCTTCCATCGGCATACCCATTGTGTTTTTTTAAGTTTTTTTTTATAATTCAAATTAAAAGCCCTGCCTTTCTCCTGTGAAAAGGATAAATGACGGCGGGATGAATGACCTAAAAAAAAATAAAAAATATTACGAAGACCAAGAAGGGATTGCGCAATATTCTATTTTTATCACGTCACTCGTATGAGAAGGAATATTAGAAGTTGGCAAACTCTTTCACATAATATTCGTAAAAATGGTCTTCCATTCATTTATTTGCATTTAGTTCTTCTATCCGAAAATCGTCTATAGGAATTGAAAGTTGATTTAAAATTGAGAATAATTATGTCCTTGACACCATCACTCGCAACATTATCCATTTCCGTACGCGGAGAAAATCTAATATCCGATGCTTCCTCGGTCCGTCTTCGTGAGAACTCAATAAAACAATTTTAAATTTGCGCATCACTTGTAACACTTGCATTTGTTTCAAGTATAGTCCTATATAATCGAGCATTGATGATGAAATTAAATTGACCAATATTGAGCAACTCGAATTCGCCCCTCAAGAGGAAAAACTCTCCGAAGTTCCGGTAACTTATTAGAATCGCCACGAAAATACATCATAACCGTGGATTACCGCAATATTCGTGACCTTGACCCGCATTAATTTAGCAAGGGATAATTACTGTCCAATCGGAAGGATTCCTCGTAAACATTACCCAATTCTTATGGAAATTTGACTTAAAATTACTGCAGGATTGTGGAAAAACCGATTTTCGCGGAGAAACGCTATGTTCTTTCGAAATGACGACTTCTATACAAGTAAAGTACGACTTGAAAGCTTTTTGTACTGTACCGTACAAAAGAATGCATGATGAGCACAAAGCGAAACTTGGGAATCTATACTGAGCGAACTTCAGTAACCGACTCGACACATCAGGAATTTACTAGAGGAAAAGTTGATGGTCGAATGATGTAAAGTAATTAGATCTGATGACTCTTCCGGACATGATTTGCGAGGACGAGCCAAGACATCTACGATAATTAAGACTCCGTCTACGAAAAAAATCACCCAAGGATACTAACATGACACTCGCACAAGAAATTCGCGCATAGCGATCCACCGAAGCACTGAGCGAAACGTCACTGACCAGCTCGCCTTTTTGAAACTTTCATGAGCCACCAGCATCAGGTCGTGAGATCTGCTGCTAATATCCACACCCTCGTACCGATCGTCCGGTTTCTATATATGTGCAAAACTCGTTCTGCACGAGGTCGACGAGCGAAGAAAGGAATCAGGAATATTAACGGAAACTATTAGGTTGGGAATGATATGCGCACTATGGCTTCCATAAGTTTTGTCACGATAGCAGAACAGGTTCTTATTCAATTTGACGAAATTGCGCCACGAGTATATATAAAAGCGAATAATTAAATTTACTGACGAATTGAAAAACAATTAGTGGCAATAATTCATAGTACTGCAGCTGACAGGCTCATCCGCTATAAAGATGAATTCGATCTTTCCTTCAGGCATTAATACAGTATATCCCTTCTCGAATCGTTCGTATAGGACTTCTACAGAATACTCACGAATAATTAAATTTGCTTCGCAAGTTCAGCGTTCGTAGCAGCCATTTTGTCGAGATTCGGCGAGATATTGCTTCGCACTCGATCGGAACCAGTTCAGCAAGCTTCAATGGAAACACGTGGAAAAGGACCAGAAAATTCTAGAACTACTTTAATTCCAATAATAAATGACGCAATTGCAGTATGTATTAAAACTTCATATCATAGATAAAACACATGCATGGACACATTTCATCAAACAAAAGCGAGAATTATTGAATGACCACATCGTCTTATATTGTTCATTAAATTATTCTGAGGTTTTCAGGAGAACCAATAACAACAAAAACCGCATTAATTGCGTCAATGTTTTTTTTTTCCTGTGTGAGTGTCTAGTGATGATGATGATGATGATGATGAAGATGAGTTCATAGCAATAGCATATTACACTGGCTTTAGTTACGTTTGCCGACCCAGGACGCTCAGACCTATGGCCCTCGTCAGCTTGTACCGACTCTGTAGACGTCGTGGGCGTCGACGGACGTTTATTCCAAGCGTTGGGGACCGTCGAGGAAAATTTTTTCATTTCGGCATCACGAGAAGAAGAAGAAGAAGAAGAGAAAGGAAAAATAAAGAGAGATGCTGTTGGTTCTGTTGCATAAAAGGTTATCGACACTCGCACAGAGCATACAAAGGAATGGCACAATAATATACGTCAACAGGAATTTAGCTCACTCTGACAAAATTGACGACACGGCGGCTTGACGACGTGATGCTGCTGCGTCGACGGTCCACCAGCAGGAGCAGGAGCTGATGGCCCTCCTCGGACGACGGTGCAAAAGGGCTCGAGGACGGAGCAGACAAACGGGTGCACGAGCGGGTTGCATCTCGTGGTCGTGAGGATGGCTGCCAGCGTCGCAATGACCTGCTCGCTCTCTTGTGGCCCTCGGTGGCCCACCATGTTCGGATAGCTCGTGAGCGGGTAAGGCAGGGCTTCTCTGCAGAACGGCAGGCTTCGTCGCACGCATTGCTGATGCTGATGCTGTTGTTGTTCAACTACCAGAGCTGCTGCCAACAAAACGACGACGACGACGACGACGACTCGCTCAACCACGTTCTCCTTCGGTCGACGGACGACAACAACGACGACGACGACACCCGGTCGGCGTGGCGGCCGTCGCGCCAGCAGGCCCGGGGGCCACCTCACTCGACCGCCAGCCAACGGACTCGGGAAACGGAGCTTGTTGTTGCCCGGGATGTTTTGTTGAAGCAAAGGATTGTTGTTGTTGTTGTTGTTATTCCCAGCAGACACACCTCCTGATGCTGCTGCTTGTGATTGTTGTTGTTGTTGTTGTTGCTGTGGTGGTCCCTGCTGCTGCTGCTGCTGCTGTGGAGGCCATCTGGGGCCAGCTGCATTCCCACCAGGTTGCTGCTGTTGTTGTTGTTGTTGTGGTGGTGACGTCAACTCATCCACATCGGTAGGGATCTCTTGCTCTTTCTCGTCCAGTCGACTCGGGATGGATGACGACACATCGTTGCTCTGCGAGGAAATGAATGAATTACCCTCATCATGGATCGTCATCATATACGTGCACTCGGCAATTTCATCATTTACTGAAATGTGGAAAGCTATATATCTACAATTGGCTACTGCATACAGCTACACGAAGCATACATCATACAGCAGTATTGCCTCCATAATAAATAAGTGATGACGCCTTTTATGCAGTGTATACCGTATTCGGTTCAACATACATATGCATATATTTACCGGTTGAATGCATGTTATTACAGTACTGTATTGATTCTTCTGATCAATAATATTTCAAAATAAGACGTATAGAGTGGGACACTATACATATAATAGCGTTGGATTCGATGAATCCAGCATATTACCATTTTCAGTTCGAAAAAGATAATCCAGTGTACGCTCCACTCTATATATTTCAGCCGTTGCATGATGATGAGAATCCTCATTGATTTATCTTTTCCTAAAGAGGAAAAGAAGACTGCTTTACGGATGTTGCTGCAGATGACGTAGTATCCACATTTGTTCGTGTCAAGAGTTATCGTCAGCATGCGTTAAACTCTTATATACTTTCTGTTGATCATATAACTTCATCTGTAAGCAGTGCGTACTGTATACACAGTATGTATAGACAAGCTTTGGAGTCTCTGTGAATTGTTGCTTGAAATTCAACTGCTGATGCAGGCAGTCGATCAATCAGTCGCAATGAAATTGCGACTCCCTTCGTCTCCTACTCTCTCGTTTTCCGCCATCACTGGATGGCCGAAAATGTCATGAAGATGAACGACATCTAGGAGAAAATGTAGTCAACCACACAAGGTGAGCTTGACGGCAGTTCTCAATAGTGAGCATCAGTTCGAAGGCCCTTGCAAAATGAGATGAAATCGCAGAATTCAAGTACCTGTACAGTACTTTCCGGTATGAGTGAAGTTTAGTATAGGTCAGAAATCAACTTTGAACGATGTCAAGAGTTCCGCGAGGATCTTGCTGAAAGTGATCTTTTTGATCATGTACGTTCACCAGCAATATTAACGGAGGAATCATCATCATCATTTGGTTTCGTTATTTGTTGAAAAAAAAAAAATGGAGGATTCTCGATGGAGAAGAGGGACTTTTACTCATCCCATCAATACAGGACACGTCTGGTTTTCGAGTCTTCTCCTTTCATCGCATGTTCGAGACCTTCAACTGCCTGGCCATGTACGTCGCAATCCAGGCCTTCACCACAACCGGTGCATAATGGAATATACGGTACATACATCTCTATTTGCAGCGTGATTGATTGATGGACAAATGATATACAATACAGTACAGCATATGAAGAACTGAATGCTGGCTGGAACAATACAGTATTCCACCTTAAATTCATTTTATATGTACAATACTTTGGGGAACGAGGGATGTACAGTACAGTATCCTCCATAATGAATGACTCCTCGATGGAAAGGCTTCGTATTCATCAAAATCATTTCCTATTGCCTAACTGAAGAAAAATTTGAAAATTGTAACCTTTAACGTATGCTGCTCCTGATGATGGGATCATTTATTTTATGCGCATGACTACACGGATTCCTGTAAAATCTCTCGGCTGATCTGATCTTCTCTTTGAATAGATTCTATAATTCAAATGTTGATGTTCATCATCGGATTCAATGTTTGACATTTGAATCGACCATATTTTCTGTCAAGTCTCGCATATTCTCACCCCTCAACAATGAAACCCATCAGGTGAAAATTTGTCTCAAGCTGGAAATACATACAGCAGTTGTACACACATATAATCATACGTTCAAAAAGTAAATCTGTCCCTTTGAATATTCTTTCATTTCAATTAAACAACGATCGACATTTAATTGCACTTGATCAATCGACGAGTTTTTGCGCGTGAAGCAGTTTTCTATAATTCTATACTTACCACGAATTTCTCTGGCAGACTCTTTCTAGCTGTATGTAGACATCTACTCCTCCGAACTTATGTCTCAAACGCATCATCAAACGTTCTCAGCATATGAATAACAACACAATATTGTCAATTTTCACACACTTTCATTCGAGTTTAATGCTTTTGTTTGTTTTCAAAGGATTTGTGTCTTACCTATGCTGTACTGTACTGTACTGTACTGTAATACGTTGATCGGTTACATGTTCCCTTTTCAGACCCCCTTACACGAGGATACAAACATATTACTTTCAATGATCTCATTCCATCCATTGTGCAGCTGTTGACCAATTTACAGCCTTATTTTTCGTCAACGTTATTCTCGATTTTTATTTTTCTTCTTCTTCTAAAAAAAATAAAACACAGCCAGTCACATTCCTGCGCAGCAGCAGATGCTCTTCGAGATGGATCAAATTACTGTAGAGGTGAACTGGTGCATGTTCGTGTCGCGTCAAAAGATAACGATCGAGGAGGGTGTTGTCGGGTCAGTTGAGCCCAAAGAAAAAGTCAAAGGTGAACCGAAGCACGCCGGTCACGGACCGCCAGAGGAGGAAGAACCACTCGTGTCTCTTGCTGCCGTTGGTGTCGTCATCGTCACCGCCGTCAACGCGCAAGGCCTTCTCCATCGTCGTCGAAACTGCGTAGACTGTTGCTGTCGACGATGATCTGTCGACAGCATTCCTCGAAGACGTCACACCGTAGTCGCTAACGTCGGTACATACAGGAATTACAGTAATAATAATTTAATGGTAATAATGAGCAGTCAGTCACGGGCAATTCATAACACAATGTCTGTCAGTCCCACAAGCGTAGAAAAGAGAAGAATAGAGTAGTGTAGTGTAGTGTAGTGCATACAGTCAACTTACTCGCCGACTGTCGTCCTCGTCCCCGATGCAGCCTTCTCCTCCTCCTCCAGCAACGCACGCTGCACCAGGGCGTGGAACTCGCCTAGTGTGAAACTCGGCAGCGTTTCACAGCCCGCCGCCAGCCAGTAGCCTGCCACAGCAAGGAACAAGACGAAAGTGACGGACATGAGGGCCTCAACGACGTTGGTCCAGCGGATCGCAGACCTATCCGATGCACCACCACATCCTCCTCGCATCAGAAGCCGGTGCTTCAAGTTGGCATACGCACAAAATACAGCACGCAGCGAGGTCAACTGATGCGGGAGGGACACGTAACGATGACTCGAGTCTGCACTTTTCTTATTGTTGTTGTCGGTGTCGTCGTCGTCAATAGTAGGAGGAGGAAGACGAGAATACGATTGCTGGACACCACATTCACAGCTGCCCCACAGACTACTGTCGTCGTCGTCGTCATCACTCGACTTCCGTCCGAGCACCCTCTTTCCTTTAACCCGCTGCTGCTTCTCCTTTTTCTTCTTGTTGACCACCGTCGCCGTGGCTTGCCTCGTCGTCATCGGCATCACGGGCTGACGACTGATGAAGGTCCGCCGACTCGGAAGCTCATCCAGATGAACAAGGAAGGTTCAAGTGTGAGAAAGACAGACAGAAAAAGTACAGAATGGATGCAAATGATTGATTGATTGATGGAAGAAAGGAACGATGAAAGCATCGTGGTCATTCCTCCTCCTCTTCTTCTTCTGCCTCCTCCTCCTCCTCCTCCTCCTACCCAACCCCCTTTTAAAATTTCCGATCAATCAACCAGCTAATCAAAGAGACTCGCGTGCCTGTAAATCCACAGTCGACTAAAGAAAGAAAGAAAGAAATCGTGACACTGTGTACGGTGTGGATTTGAAAAAATGGACATTTTCCGTTGCAGATTTACATACAGGCAGACAGACTGACAGACACGCACACTTGACATTTCCCTCGCACGAGGCGAGCCACAAAAAATAAAACAAAACCCCCTTTATTCTTCTCACTGCAAACAAAGAACCCCCAAAACACAGCACTTGTGCTCGCATCGACACGATTATCACCGCCATCGTCGTCGTCCTCGTCCCCTGTATGCTCATCATTATAAATAACTCTGTAAAGTAGGCAGGTATAGTTGGCTTCTTTTTGCCCACCCCATGTGTCGACATGAAAAAACACAACCCTCCTCCTCCTCCCTTCAAGAAGGTCACACATCATCATCATCATCATCCTCCCCGAGGATAAAGTGTGTGTCAATGAAGCTTGCCCAGCTGGAACTTGCGCTTGATCAACTGGTGCGAATGGAAAAGGAACGAGTCCAAGAGTCCCGCCACGGTGAACACTCCGCCAATTATAGCGCACAAGCTCGCCAAGAAATGTCCCAAGTATCTGAAACAGAAGAATAAACACATGGTTCGCATTCATACGGACTGTATTTGCAAAAAATACGACACAAACTTGACCAAAACGGGGGATTTGACTATGCGGCTAAAGAAGTCTAGTGTGCAATACTTGCATCGTACATACAGTATATATACAGTAGTACCGTATTCACTAGAGGGGGGGAACAAAACCAAACAGAGAGGGGAGAGAAGTCAGCCAGAATGACAAGACTGACTGAGGAGAGAGAGAGAGAGAGAGAGAGAGAGAGAGAGAGAGACTCACTTGCGCTTCTCCGAGTATTTCACCATCAAGGGGGCAAAGTCGTACTGGCAAAAGACACCGGGCATCGACCCCTCCGTCAACCTGTGTCCCACATTCTGCAAATGATGAACGCAACAAAAACAAACAACATTAAATCTACACATTTCGCATCATCAATCTACCTTGAGATTTTGCGTCACGGTTTACCTTGAACTGCTTCCGCACAGAAAACTGATTGGTCTCGAAAACACTCCCGTCGCTCTTTTGATACGTCGTCGGGATGATTTTGATGAGGTACTGCACCATCACAAGTCCTATTGATTAATTAATTAATTTATTTATTTATTTATTTATTTATTCATTCATCGCGGGGAAACAAAGGAGGAGGAATGAAAAAAAAAAAAGAAAAAAGAAAAGTAAGCCATCGTTGTCATCATTCTTCGACGGGGGAAATAAAAGAGAAAAGGATGCATCTTTGGGCTGATCGACGAAAGACCTATGCATTTGTTATTACCGCTTTCAGAAGCAAAGTCGAAGCCGTCCAAGGGATTCGTCCGGTCCAACACCTTCTGTCCAAAGCTCAAGTGTCGAATCGTGTGGCTCATGTTGACATTCTCGAACGACGCGTCGCCCAAGTCATGAACTGTACAATACATACAATGGTCATCAGTTTATTCACGTCATCATCACCACATCAAATCACGTCATTCAACATACTGCACTGCACAATACTGTACAGTACTTGACCAATCCACTCACCGTGTATGTGTTCGATCGTAAAACTGTGTCCAGGAGCAAAATGGAAATTGCCACCAACCTACAACAGACACGCAAATATTATCATTACTGTATTATCATTGGGACACAGCGCTTCAACAATAATGGTAACAACTCTCTTTCGACACGTACCCTGTTGAGAGAGAGATAGCCATAAATCTGGCAACCCTCCTGGTTGGCCAGCATCTCGCGTCGCTTCTTCGCCTCCTCCTGACACTGGACCACGTCGTCCAGACTCATGAGGCGCCATCCTTTCATCTGGTACGCGTCTTTCACGTCCTGGCATGTATCACAGCACCTGAAAGGGAGATAATACGAGGCAACTGATTCTCTCTCTCTCTCTCTTTCTTTCTTCGTCCAGTACAGTACAGTCACACAAGATAAAATGGAAATTAGTGGTCGTCGTCACCTTTTGCGCGGAGACTCGGCGCCGTAGCAACTGCCACAGCCCGGTGGGGCGTTCGGATCCAGCACTGCACTCTCCACCGCCGCCGGCTCCTCGCCACTCAACGATTTGTTCTTCATCACTTCGGATGCCAAAGTACCCAGCACTGGTGTTGGAACGAGAGATTGACATCATTTCACCCAGACTAGGGCACGGCATTACTGTACTGTACCTTCGTGCTTGACTGGATCAGACAACGGCTCTCCCTTCGGGTTCAGTCGTCGCTTGAACACGTTGTGCTGAATATTCGTCAACTGAACGCCGCTCGCGTCCATGGCGTCGATGCTCACAACTGAGGAGGAGAAAAAGAAGAAGAAGAAGAAGAAAAGAGAAAAGAGAAAGAAGAAAGATAGACATTATTTCAATCAAACGCACACCTGCCCTTCTCTCCTTCATTCCACTCACAGCCACACGCCATACGCGGAAACACCACGTCAAAGTTGATGATGAGCTTCTCTCCCCGCGTCGTGTCCACAAACAGCTGCTCCTCCATCTCCACTCGCAGGTAGTCGCGCAGTTCGGAAATGAACAGCAACACCATGACTAACCCGCCCAAGATGGTCACTGTTGACTCAACATTCCATAAAACAAAACAAACAAACAAAAATAAATGAATGAATGAAAGAAATAAATTCTACAAGCAGGCAACTACCAAATACTAAACAGTATTGGGCAATTATACGCACCGCTTGCCCCGGAAAAGGTCTTGATGCGGAAGTCTTCGAGCGTTTTCGGGTAGGCGTCGAAACGCCGGAGCTGATCCAGCACTCCATTTCCCATTCCTTCCTACCTCGCAGATCACACCCGAACACACGATCGATCGTCAATCCGTCGATTGCTTCATCATCATCATCATCACGACTCCCGAAACACGCTCATCACCACCATCGTCGCCGCCACCAAAAACAACAACACGACTACCACCACTTGCATCACTCGACATCTGTTCATCAACAGCAACAGGAAGAAGAAGAAGAAGGAAAAAAAAAAAAAAAAAAAAATTGAGAAGAAGAAGAAAGCGGAAGAAGGTTTTTTTCCCCCTTCTAAAAAAAAGAAAAAGGAAAAAAAAAAAAAAAAAAAAAAAAAAAAAAAAAGGGGGGCGGGGAGAGGAGAGGCAAGACCGAAACCTGTCAAATAATTCCGATCGATCCCATTTCCAAAATGTATACAATAAACGAACAAATTCCACTCGATCGTGATCACGAATCCAATTGACGCCTGCTCAATTTCATCAATCGCGACGGGATAACACGAGTTAAAGCAGCGCATCGAATTTCGTAGTCGAGGCCGTCGTCTTTGTCATCATCATCATCATCATCCGCAACGACGACTGCTCGATCCGGCCAACTTCAAACAGGGGGGGGGAAAAAGGAGGACGGGGCCAGAGAGATGTTGCATCTCCCCCACAATCCGCTCGCACAAAGCCAACAACTTGTATCACATTAGCCCGAAAGGAAAAAATAAAAAATAAAAATTTGATTGAATACTGCGCATGCATGCATGCACTGCATGACTGATTGCTTTCTTCCTCTTTCCTTCGTCTTCTAATTAGTCATCAACATCAATATCAGCCCTTGATAACTGCCACGGGCCGAAGTTTGATGCACTTGGACGAGATGCCTGCTGCGTGACAAGTGTCCACCACGTCCGTCACGTTCTTGTACGACTCGGGCGCCTCCTCCATGACGAGCTTGGGCGAGGCGACTCGGATGGCGATGCCCAGGCCCCGCAGCTTGTCCAGCACGTCCTGGTAGTCGAGTTGGCGTCGGGACTTGGCCCGCGACCAGGCCCGGCCCGCGCCGTGGCACGTGCTGCCAAACGTGTCCCGCATGCCTTGCTCCGTGCCCGTCAGCACGTAGGAACACGTGCCCATCGTGCCGCCAATGAGCACGGGCTGGCCAGTCAGCTGGTAGTCCACGGGGATGAGTGGGTGGTGAGGCGGGAAGGCCCGCGTAGAGCCCTTGCGGTGCACCAGCAGTCGTCGCGGCCGCCCGTCCACCACGTGCTCCTCCACCTTGGCAATGTTGTGCGACACGTCGTAGATGACGTGCATGTCCAGGTCGTCGGGGCTGGCGCTGAACTGCTTGGCAAAGGCCTGGCGCGTGAGGAACGTCATCGAGGACCGGTTGACCCAGGCAAAGTTGGCCGCAGCCGCCATGGCCTTGAGGTAGTCCTGGCCCTCGGGCGAGCCGATCCGAGCACACGCCAACTGCCGGTCGTTGGTCTCGATCCGGTCCCGCTTCATGGCCTTCTCCATGGCGACGAGCGCGTCCGTGGCGACCTGGTGCCCGAACCCGCGCGAGCCGCAATGGATCATGACGCACACCTGGCCCCGACGCTCGATGCCCATCTTGCTCGCGGCAAACTTGTCGTAGATCTCGTCCACCACCTGGATCTCGCCGTAATGGTTGCCCGCACCCAGAGTGCCCAGTTGCGGCAGGCCCCGCTTCTTGGCCCGCACGCTCACCTTGGACGGGTCCGCATTGAGCATGCGGCCAAACTCCTCGCAGTGCTCCTTGTCCTCGGCCCAAATGTAGCCCTCGCGCAAGGACCAGTCCATGCCCATCTCGAGCGCCTCTTCCAGGTCGCGCGCGTTCATCGGGATGATGCCCTTGGAGCCCACGCCGACGGGGATGTGGTCAAACAGGGCCTGAGCCAGCTGCTCCTTGACGGGTTGAATGTCCTGGGAATGTCCGTCAGACAAACGGACAAACAAACACACACACACATACATACTACATCATGAAAGAAATGAACAGTACGAGAAAACGCTTGTTCGTTCATCAAACATTTATTTATTTTTTACCCATCAACCCCTTTTCCTTTTCCAGGCGCCATTTCCAACACTGTACTGTACTGTACCTTTTCCGTCAAATTGGTGCGCAACAGCCGCACGCCACAATTGATGTCAAATCCAACACCTCCCGGGGAAACGACGGACTTGGGATCATCCATATCAAAGGCAGCCATGTTCCCTGGAGAAGCAGATGAAGAAAAAAGAAAATACCGGAAAATGAAAGTAAAGTACAGTACATAAAATGATAATAATGAAGGGGGGGGCCTCACCGATGGCAAAGCCGTAGCCCGAGTGCACGTCCGGCAGCCCGACTGAACGTCCAACAATGCCCGGCAGAGCGGCCACGTTCGCGATCTGCTTCACTCCCGGCAGAAACCCGCCCACCTGGCCCGGACGACACGCGTTCCTCAGCTCGTCCAGCATCAGTCGCTCCAGGTGATCATTCACGTAGAAAATGCCCTCCACCTGAGAAAACGAACCTCACAGCTAGAGAGCGTCATTCTCCTTGGAGAGTAAGAGAGCACCAGAATGAAAAAAAAATTTAAAATCCCCCACGTTCATGCCCGGCTGAAACCCTTTCTTGATCCGCCATGAATACGGCGACAGCTTCTCCAGATACGACAACTCCTCGTCGTACGAACGCACCACCATCTCTCCCGAAATGCCAGCAATACTGTATAGACAGACACACAGATACCTGCGACAATCGAGGCAACACTGTCAGAAAGCACGTCGATCGATGCCATGACGACATCCTGACGAGACTCCAAACAAGAGAAATACAAAGAGAGGAAACCAAACAAATCCGACTTTGTATTTTACACCTAACTCGCGTGGAATAAAAAAAAAAGAAAAAGAAGAGAGAAAGGACACGTCAACAGAAGGCCGAGTCAACGAGGGAAATATCGGGGTGTTACAATGCCGATTAAAAAAGTCAAACTGCAGCGCGGAACTTGAGGGGCGATTTAAAAACAAAAAAAACAAAAAAAAAAGAAAGAAACAAAATGCCTGTTCAACATTCCGGAGATTCCCAACTCCCTTGTCTCTAAATCCCTCTTTTTTTCCATTGCCTTTGAACACAACCCCGAAGGTGGATCCTTTTCCTCAAAATTATCATTCCATCTTCTTCTTTGTCTTTCCATCGCTCTCAATCTCTCTATATCCTTTTCTCTTCTTTTTATTTTCTTCTTTCCGATCCGTTCACTGGGATAATGACGAACGCCTCTCCTGCCCTTTTTGAACTTGCACGCACTCATCATCGGATCACTGCAATGACCGTCAGTAAACAACAACAACGAGAACGACGACCAACCAAGTTCGTCTTTTGTCAAATCAAAAAGAATCGGGAGGAAAAAAAGGGATCGAATTACATATCAACGGGTCATGACGAGTCCTTCTCTATCCCTCCTCCCGGCTTGAAACATTGTACACGTGTATGTTATGTACACACACGTACGACGGAAACAACAACTGGGAAAACCTCTTGTACACACAGGGTGTCGGCCAATTATCAACGTAAATAAAGTAATAAACAGATTCAGTGCGCAGAAAGTTTTCAAGCGGAAATACGAGCGCTGCGATCGTCCGCAAAAACGAAAAGCAAGCCTCTTATTCTCGTCATCAGCGTGAGTTGAGCACGTTTCGTGGCAGCATCCCGCTCAACATGGCTATGGACCAACAACGTCCTGCATTTCCCTTCGAGTGTTTGCGCACACACATTTTCTTTCCTTTACTTCGTCGGCTGAATTGGTCCGTTGCTGCTGGCTGAGGCTTGATTCCACGTGATGGAATGTCTGTCCACTATCTCGACTGGCATCTCCAGTCGTTTTCGACGAATGCGTGAAAAAAAAAAAAAAAAAAAAAAAAAAACTCAGAGACGCCTCANGTAAAAAAAAAAAAAAAAAAAAAAAACCACACACCCCCACAGGTCTTTGCTCGTTTGCGGAAATATCATTGGATGAAACCAGTCTGCGCTCAACTCGCAAGTACAATAAAGTAATGGACGAGGAATTTCCCACACGAAGCTTCGAAATCCTGCACGTGTTTGAACCATCAAGAGATCATTGGGACAAGCAAGTGTGCCGAAAACCGATTCATCTCAAAAGATCAGTGGAGACGGACTTCTGGAGAAAGCAAGCAGAAACCTATCAACGATACGAATACAAGTCGCGATGTTTGTTTGCAACGAAAGCAAGCGACCGAAAAAGACTTCTGTCGCGTTTTTCTTCTTCTTATTTTTCTATTCAACTCCCGAAACCGCATCATTAACGTAACTCTAAAGGAGCGATCGACAAGCAGCAGCAAAGATTGCGTCACTTCCAGGGGGTGGTTATTCATCTCGTTAGAATGCTTGGAAATATCATTCCTATCTCTTTGGCAACCCACTCGTGTTCTCGTCCATTTCACGAATATTTCAATCATTTGTCCCGAGTCCTCAGCAACGAAAAAAATCAAATCAAATAAAACAGATCAATCGGACTGCAGCGTGGAAAAAAATAAAACAAAAGACCGATATGGCAGAATAATCCCAAGACACCCTGAATTGGGAAGGAAGAAAACAGTATCTTGCTCAGTTAGAAAAAGAATCTCCTTGAGACACCAGGTACAAGCCAGCAATGAGAGAGATCACGCGTACCAATCGTCCGTCCAAAATTTGCCAAAAATACTCCTGGGTGCAACAATTCCCCTCCCCCCACTTCTCCCTCCTCTCTTCCCCTAGCTTCCATCCATCCATCCATGAGAAGGAGGGAAAAAGAAAGAAAAAAAACCCGTCGAACGAGGAAAGACGGACACGCAAAGCGATCAGGTGACACCAGCCGCCAACGAAGGGAGAGACGGACAATAAAACAAGGAAAGCGTTTGTGCCGAATAACGTTCCTTTTCTTCACATCTCCTTTCTCTTCGTTTCACTCGGCTGTCGTTGCTGTCGTGGATTCGCTAAACAATTCTCGCTTCGCCGTGTCCACTTCGGCCTTGCACGTAGAAGGACTCAGATTCGACGACGACGACACTGACGGACTCGACACTCCATTCACCGGCGGCGGGACAACCGTCTCCTTCTCGACGACTTCCTTTTCGCGATGCCGCTTGCTGCTGCTGCTCCTCGATCTCTCACGCCGATGACGATGCTTCTTCTCGCTACTACTGTGGTGATGCGAACGGTGGTGATGATGATGGTGGTGGTGATGCTGGTGATGATGCTGCTGCTGCTTCTCTTTGGCTCGCTTCTCCTCCTTGGCATTCGAGAAGGACAAGTTCTCCTTGTCTTTCAGCGGCGTCGGCGTCTGCGCTACACCATCAGCTTCCTGCCTCTCTTTCCTCTTCCGCTTCTGCTCGTCTTCGTCTTCGGGCTCACCCTTGGCCTTCTCTCGCCCCTCGTCCTCATCGTCGGCATCGTCGCGTTTCATCCTTTTGCCCGACGACGAAGACGACGACAACGGCGTCGAAGACCGCCGCTTCACTTTGGCCGACTTTTTGGGCGCCGGCGACTCGTCCGGCCGATGGTCCTCGTGGTGACGCTTGCTCTTGTGCTCTCGCGTATCGTACATCTTGAGACGACAATGCCAGGCTTCAAACGAACGAACACACGAATACGGTCAGTCACGACTCAAAACAGTCATCGTCACAATCGACTCACCGATGCTCGTGCAAGCGGAAACCGTGCGAAACTGATGCACGACTTTCCTGGGCAGGAAGTAAATGTCGTCGTCATGCAGGTAAAACTGCGCATATCGGATGCCAGTGTCCCTGCGCAACTGGTTCAACTTGGCTTCGTCCAGCCAAATCGGGCACTGAAATCACGTGTACAGACACACACACTCAAAGTCTCGATCAATCACGCGGGAATGCTCTCCATCACTTCGACCGCTCGTGCATTCCAAATAAAATTACCGCACCTGTGTCATGGGTGGCTCGAGTAGGTCCAGGTTCAACTCGTCGACAACCTTCTCGTAGTCCTCAGGGTGAAAGGCGACCACATCCTTGACGCGTCTCCGTCCGAGTCGCCGCACCTCCTCCTCGTCCGTGTAGAAGGCCTTGATGAGCGCGACGGCGGCTGTCGTGACCGGCGGCACGTTCTTGCCCGTGTGGTCCGCGTGCGCCTTCGTCCGGTCCTCAAAGAACACGGTGCGAGGATCTGAGGCTCGAGGCCAGGTAGTCAACGACGACAACTCGGCCAGGGCCCGCTTCCTCTTGAGGGGCGAGATTCCACAGGGACCCTCGCCGTTCCTGCCACGCATGTACGACGTCGGCACCATCTGCTCGCCGGGACGAACCCACAATATCGGACCATCGTCCGATCGCCGAGGGTCCATGCCCCTGCAGCTCGACATCGAACCCCACGGCATCACCTGCATTGAACATTCGCCCACACATCCACTACAATACTGGACATCCCCCACACACACACACGCAATCACACCCAACTAACCTTGCGCAGGAATGGAACAGTCTCCATTGCCTTCAACAGTTCGGGAAAATAATTGCCCGACTCTTCACCGGCTGCCCCCACGATGCTCAGGTTGTCAAGCGGGCCGAATCGGATGATACCATCCTTGTACGAATTTTTCACCTGAGTTAACGTCACAATCGATTAAAGTCATAATTCTCCCATGCTATAATAACCCTTGGATGGGTATAAGCCGAGATTGAAGCTTACCTCTTCGTAATACTGCCCGAGTGTAGTTTGCTCGAAATTGCCGTCTTTGGTCAGGTAAGAATGCCGGACTTTGAGATCTGGATAGCGATTAGCGAGAAGGTCAAAGAGATCTGGCAGCTGTTTTCCTGCCCCATGCACAACTCCGATCACGTATTTCGCACTTCCGTTTTCTTCCGCAAACAAGAGCTGCATCAGATAAAGAGAAGACAACAGCTATTAGAAAACAACATTATCGATAACGCGCATACACACGGGTTGAAGCGCCCAGCGAATGTATCAGAGGTTGACTGACATGACAACAACTCAAACTAAAAAGCGTACCTTGAGAAATTCCTTAGCTAAGGCGGAAACGGTATCCGGGCTCAGGTGCTGAGTATCAGCATGGTCCATGTGCAACGTTTTGGCACCCCCGTTGGGATCGATTTCCACGCGGTAGTACTTGCCATATTGCAAATTGGGAAAGTCATTGCGCATCCGCTTGCACTGCACACCGACATGGCGCTTATTGCCTTCGTGAGGAGTTTCGACACATTTCGACTTCACTCCTCCTCCCCCCTCCGTCTTGACGGGAGTGGGCTTCGGAACGTCATCGGTCTGCGTGATCAGATCCTGCGTCAAGTCGACTTTCGTTTGGCGCGGCGGAGAGTCTGGCGATTTCTCACATTTCACAATGGGAGTATCTAAAGGTGGTATGGGCTCCGGCGCAGTGGATGTATCGGGACTCAACTTCTCTGCCTCCATGGGTGCGAAACCAAGCAATAGGTATGCTCACACACTGTTCCTAAGCACATGTTCCTGCCATTAGGGAGCAAACGTTTGGAAAAATTACTCGGAATTGACCATACCGGAATTTGGTCAGAATTCGACTGATCACGTAAATTAGCAGGATCCTTCGTAATCACGACTTAAACCCAAAAACTACAGAATTTCGATAGAACCCAAGGCGGTTCCACTCACTTTTCCTTCCACCAGTCCCACCCCCATCCCGAAAAGTTCTGATTGAAGCCGTTGATCTAAATGTTCCCGCTACAGTACGTGTCATCGTACAATTCCGGTAGGACAATTGAACATACATCGCTTCATGGATAACATGATAACTTATTTAATCGTGATGTTAAGCATGGCAAAAAATGAAAATATGTTATTAAATAGCAAAATATGCCGCAGTGAGTTTTTCATTCACTTGATATCGCGATAAATCTTTCCAATTATTTTTAAAGCGACATCTGATTACAGTATACAAAAAATCGGTTCCTGGAGTATCTGGGCTTTTGACCAGCTTTCGTACCCTCGTCACCTGGCCACCGTGTGCAACAACAGGAGGGGTGACTGTGTTGAGAAGGAATTGCTCAGACCAATAGTGCTTCGTGGGTGAGTGTAGTTGTGCGTCGTGACCGCGCCTCGGAATAACTCGAACGATGGCTAGCAATTCAAGACTGAAGCGTTTGTCTGATGATGGTTCGTATAGTACTGTATATGGACTTTTATGAAAATTATGTTCATGTGCCATTTCGCATATTTCCCGCAGAGTTCGCGGAATTCGGCCGCATGAAAGACGAGCTAATGAAAGCCTTCACGATCGGTTTTCCGAGGGGAGAAGATCCGATTCGGCAAGATCGTTCTGAACAGGAGGAAGGAGATCGCAAAACGTCAACATCTAGTGATCAGCAGTGTGCTCCACTGACAAGTACAACGGCGAACGCAGCGCCAGGTCTGGGATGATTCGATGAAGCCTAGAATGTATTATAATCTTGAGTCTTTGTCTTGACGTACAGCGCCTCATGAGTCCCGTCGGTATGTCAAGGAGAAAGTTGTGGGTTGGCAGCTCGCGAACACTGAGGAAGTTATCCGTGAAGGGGTTGCGAGGGGTCGACCCTGGGTCACGGAAGTGCCCGGCAGAAAAAAGGTTTTCATGTTGAAAGAGGTAACTGTCGAAATCATTCTCAGACTTTTTGACGTAGCAAGCACCGTAATATTTTATGCAAGCGCGTTTCCTTGTATCTAAGTGATGTTTGCCCGTTCTTGTAGCACCCTGAAGCAGGGCTCTCCATGGGATGGGCTCGGAAAACCATAACGAGAAGTTATGACGCCCCGTCGTTGCCCCTGAATCTTTTGGGTGCCCAGCAGAGCCATTCGAACCATTATGCCCCGCCCAGTCCGTTGAACATGCTGAAATTGCCGCAAAACTGTGACCTGCGCTTGTCCCCGCTCGAAAATGATCGCAATAATTACGCTGTCGCAACCCTGGGCAACGTTCCGCAGTTGATCATTTTCCGAGATGCCGAAAACGTGAGTTTGTTCCATTTTCTCTCATTGGTTGAATCTACGAGGTTTTGTAATTTTATCTTTTCGGAAGGTCAGTCCGTCGGCCAGTTTGAGTTGATCAATCAATCCGTCTTTTCCACAGGCCTGGGAGAATCGATCAAACTTTCTCAAGATGATGGAAGGCATGTCGCTGCAGTTTGAACGCTTGTGTACTCTGCAAGCGAGTGTGACTGCGAATCTGCGTTCCAGCGGAAATTTATCTCATGAGGCTCTTCGTAACCTCGATCTTCTGGATTCACTCAATGGTCTGATGTCGAATCGCGTCGCTGTCCACGGCACAGCCGCTTTCCGCATGTCGCAGGAGGAATATCTCAAGGAGATCGGCGATGATTTTGCCGAGAATCTCATGAAGTTCTCCGGCAAAAAGTGGGGCGACTCAAATCTCTTTCACTCTGCGGACGCCCTCACGTTGAATCAAGTGTTGTCCCTGCGTGGTGGCGCCGCCTTTGACGTCGGTCCCGTTTCCCAAGTCCAGCAACGGGAATATCCGTGAGTAACTTTCTTCTTTTTTTTTTATCGGAAATTAAAGAAAAAGCATTGTCCTTTCTGGATTGCGCCGACGAATCTTTCCATTTGAAGAGCCCTTATTTTCACGTGCGTTTCAATGCTAATTTTTATTTATTCCTCACAATATCCCAATTTAAGGAATGCCGTTCCTCTGGGCATGAGAAGATCTCCACTGCTTCCTACTCCGCCAATTCCGTGAGTGCACTACAGTCGATATTTTTGACCTTATTTTTGTGTACTGTACTGTGCAGTAATTAAACTCCGAACTTGACAGTGCCCTCGTGACGAGTCCGTATCATGGCGGATACCCAGCTCCAGCGCGACCAGAAGACAGCTTTCGTCCTTATGTGGCGAGCCAATCTCAGTTCTTCAAACCCAGAACATTCCAGAACAAGAAAGTGAATGCTGTGAAAAAGCCTGCTGGTGGCGAGTTGTCGAAGGAGAAGCAAGGAGCTGTCAAAGACGGGAATCATGTGAGCAATAGTTCGGGACGAAAGGAGTCGACGACCACCGTTAGCAAGGAGAAGGTCTCCGCAGATTTGCGCGAATTGCTGAACACAATTAGGAATCTTTCGTGAACAAGTTCGCCTTATGTACCGCCTGCGTAAAGAAGAATAATGTCCCCACCCGAGTTGATGTGGAAATATTCTTGAAAACTTCGGAATTGCTCAGAAGATGAGACTCTTGATTGGCTCACTCTCGCTGCTGTTTGTTGCTTTGCAGAAAGTTTTTGTTTCAAAGTTGTGTAAAGTAAAGAACGAAAAAAATGTGATACTCGGAATGGCGCTTGTGGACGAATATTCTGGGCCTGGTGCCAAAAAGAGGAAGCTGGCCGACGACGAGCCTTCGTCCGCTGACCCCGCGGAAGCATTGAATCCCTTCCGTTTCATTAGCGAGCAAATCCGGAACAAGATTCTCAAGGTTAGTGTTTCTCATGATGATGATGGTGATGCGGAGGAGAAGCCGCGTTGTTTGTCTTTCTCGAATACATGAATGCCCTTTTCTTGGACTGCCACTCATTGGACAGGCGGACGAGATCAGCGCCGTGTTGGAGAGATGCACACTGCACATTGCTGGTCTAACGAAGGAACATCAGATTCTGTCCAACCTCTTTGTAAGAGATGCCATTTCCTTTTGTTTTTTTTTATTTTTTCCGCGCGTTGGTTCGTTGTTACGAGTGTCTTCTGTGTTTGTAACAGTGTTCTCTGTGGACCCACGACGAGCTGGAGAAGGCGGACTTCGATGCTTATGAGAAGTTTGTGACTGCCGCGCTCATATCAGAGCCAATGTTTTTGCACACTGCCGTGAAACTCTGGTGTCGCGCTCTGCTTGACGGTGAGTGCCCAGGAAACGAACGGAATCATTTGGAGACTCGATACACTACTATACTGTATTTAGAATGCGTGGAATTCCTCCTTTTGTTGTCTCTGCAGGAAACAAGCAACCCGTTCACGAACACCTCCTCTGGCTCCTCGTCATGTTTTCTGAGACATTCCCTGCGTGAGTTTGTGGCCTAAGTTTTAAAGAAGAAAATTTGTTATTTTTTTCTTGCCACTTTTCGATTGATTGACATGTGTGTTTTGGCTTTCCGTGTTTGTTCGTTTTTTTTGCTTGAACCAGATCGAAGGATTTGATTCTGCAGGCGTTCGCCAAGAATGTGCCGTTGATGCGGCGTGGTGACGGGAGTGATGTCAGGGATTTTGTCATTCATGCCGTCAAAATCGGCAATGTCATCCCTGGCATTTGCAAGGAAATTACGGCTCTTGCCGTCCAAACGTGTGTACAACTCTTGTTCTTCTCTCTCTCTCTCTCACTCGTCCTTCTGCTCACGTCATTGTTTCATTATCATACAGTCTTGCGAGATTCGACGCTCGCGTGTCTGTTGACATGAAGGCGAGAAAGGAGGAGGAGGAGGTGGTGGTTCGCGATCAAGAGCGGAACGTAGGCCCGAAAGGAGGAGAAGCGGAAAAAGAAGAAGAAAGCCACGAATCGAAGGCGGAGGACAAGGAGTTGGAGCAGCGGAAGGCGTGTCTGGACGAGTCGTGCTCCGTGCTGATGCAGCAGGTGATGCAGCGCGTGCGACGGAAGCCGAGCAGCATCAACTCGCTGCTGTCGGGCTGCGGACAGCCGACGTTCCTCGCCATGGACTCGACGACGCACGTGCAGTACGTACTGTTGGCTGCCGGCGCAGTGAGTGTCCCCGTTGCTCAGCGACTGCTGGACTGGCTGTGGGAGAGTGCGCGGTCGGTGACGAGTGCGCCGCGTCAGCGCGAGATTGCCCTGGGCCACCTCGCGAGTCTCTTGTGTCGGGCCAGCTACCTGCGCGTGCCCCAGCGACGCGCGTGTCTCGAGGCCATGGTGCAGCGGGCGCAGGCGTATGTGACGCTCCACTGCGGCGGGGACGAGGGCGACACGTGTCGCGACAACAGCAGCGTGAGGAAAGGTGAGTAGAGCCACAACACTGTACCAGATGGATTTTGTTCAAGTGTTGTCATGGCTGGTGCCTGTCTTATTATTGCTGTGTCTTCCTTCGTTGTCATTCATTGCATTGCAGGCAGTATGCTTACCACGAAACGGCATCGAAGCTTTTTCGCCACTTGCCAGGCGGTTTTCTACGTGATCGCCTTCAACCACCGGGACCTGGCCCGCACCTCGGAAGGCCTGGCCTGGCTGCATCACCTGGGCCTGGAGAAGCTCGTGAGTTGCAGTCTGAACCCTCTGCGACACTGCTGCCCCTCGGTCGTCAAGAACTTTGCTAACGTGATGAGACACTACCAAGTTCTCTACTGCTACTCCATCATTGAGCGGAATGCGAGAATCCCGCGAGCAGACTTGGAGTGGGACCATCGCGGAGGCATGGTTCCGTGCACGTCCGACGCCCCGCTGGACACGTCCTTTTTCCCCTATGACCAGGACCTGATGCCGAGGTAGAGAAACAAAAACAATTGCCTGGTTTCCTGTTTTGCTTTTTGCAGTGATTCACTCACTCATTCATTCATTCATTCATTCGTTGCTGGTTTGCAGGTGCATGAAGGTCGTAGAGCCCTACTACGTGCAGTACGACATGAAGGAGCTGGGATTGACTTCGGCGAGTGCGGAACATTTCATTGCTGGCTCGGAAGACGCAGCGGATTTGTCGAAGCAGAAGCGGAGTCGAAGGCGGACCGACACGGAAGGCAGTAGCAGTTGGACGGAGGACCTGGCCAAGGCGGATGCGTTCGACTACAGCTGCTCGCCGGGCTTCAAAGCCTGGCAAGACGAGTTGTCGGCTGAATCCTGACTGCCCCGTGTTTGCATTTGAAATCCGAATGTGCGGGGGAGAAAGGAGGAAAAAAAAAAAAAAACCTGTTGCAACAGAAGGGAAAGAAATGACGCGTGTGTCTTTTCATTATTTTCCTCATGTTTTCTCTTGATCTTGTGGCAGTTGTGCCAAGCGATGATTTGCTTCTCCTGAAATCGGCCTTGTCCAGAACGATGACGAAACCATTTTTCTTTTTCTGTTAGAAGTTCAAACGCTGCAGTGAAGTGCTTTCAATCTTCGTTTTTCATCATATTGAAAAAAAAAAAGAAAGAAGCGAGGAATAACAAAAGGTAACCACTGAGGTAGTTTTGAGTATTTCAGGCAGATATTCGCTCAGCAGAAACTGTCGTGGGAAATGACGTTTGTTCTCTCTGTTTTTTTCTTCTTTTATAAATCCGTTCCTGTTGAATGGGGAAAGAAAGGGCTTTTTTCTTCTTTAATTCGTCTTCTTACTTCCCGAGGAGGTTCATTTTGATGTCGCGCTACGTGAGCAATGGAAGAATCCGTCGCGTTCCTCCAATCCGTGTTCGTTCCGCGGGTGCTGGTGCTGACGACGCCGGACGCGGAGCGAATGTGTTGCAAAAGCGGGTTGAATTTTGCAGAGCTCCTGTCGCCGTTCGCCTCAGTGCGTGCGCAAAGTAAGTTTTTCTTCATTCCTCAGCCGTGGCTCAATCATGCTGTACAGTACAGTACGTGAAAACACTAGCAAACTACCGAACACCGTTTTTCGTTTCCTATTTCGCAAGTCTATTTGCGTGATCCGTTGAATCAGACCCTGAGTTTGGACTCGCTGTCGGTCCGCTTCGTGGACGGTTCGGAGTGCCCGGTGGATGCCAATTACTCCAAGAGAGTCCTCGGTAAGTAGGCAGTGCTTTGGGGGGCTTGGCTCGATGGTAGTGTACGTGTTGATTTCCTCCGCTCTTTTTCAAGGGGAAGTGGTGAGTCGGTGGTTTGCGGCGGACGACGCCGAGTGCAGCCAGTATGCAGGCGACGACGACGACGAAGACGTGGCTAAGCCCAAGACGCAGCCCTGGTTTGAGGCCTGGCGGGACGCGTATTTGGCCTTCAGCGGTGCTTCTGGCCCGGACCACGAGTTCTTCACGCACGTCCTGAGCGTCGTCATGGTCATCTCGGAGCGCGAGCAGCCCCACGAGTCCGTCGCTCTGCTCTACAAGAAGCTGCATCACGACCTCAAGGTCAAACTCCTGTCCTCGTCGGCTCTCATCTACTATGTCGTGGTGCACGATGCCAGCGAAAGTGCCGACTTGATCACGTGAGTTCCGCCACCGACTGGCCTTCCCTGAAATCTGATGCGCTTGAAAAAATTTTTTTTCTTTCTTTTGTGCCTCAGTGCGGAGAAAAGGTGCGAAATGTTGCGTTCGCAACACGGATATTCGTCTGCCAGCGTCGTGACGCTCAATTCAAATACCGGTCCAGACTCCTCGGTCCCGAGTGACACGTGGGCTGCTGTGCTGGCGAGGAAGCGATTGTTTCAGGTACCGTACGGTGCTGTACTGTTTCTTATCTCATCGTGTATCGTCAAATTGTCGTGAGGGAAATGAGATTCCAGCGTGTCGTCTGGTCTTGTCTTAATGTCGAAGGAACTTGGCACGAATGAAAGGAAACGTGAACCAGCTTCGGGTTGGCTAACGGTGTACAGTACTTTAATGTACTCTGTTCTGTATCGTCGTTTTTTTCACGCAGAGGCCGAGCAAGACCAAGCGCTGGGCCCAGACGCCGGATGAGGCGGAGTTGGAGGAAGGCGCCAACATGGGCGGCGCTTTGCCGTGCATCGAGGCCAGCGGCATGCCGTCGGGCAGTGGGCCGAGTTCGCCGCCGGAACTGGCGACGGAAGCCATGAGCACGTCGTCCAGCACCAACACCACCACCACCACCACCACGCTGGCCGGCGGTAGTCCCGCGTTGCAGGCGGTCGTCATGCATCCACTGTCTCCGGATGTGTCGTCTTCTTCGCTGACGACAACGCCGCATCTGTCGGTCTTGGATCCGTGCGGGGGAAACGGCAGTGGTTTGGACGAGCAGCAACACGCTGGTACGACGACGACGATCGTAGTTGTGAACGAAGACGGACTGCCGAACCCCGGCTGCGGGGACTTGCAGGAGGAGGAGATGTCAGTCGTGGGCAAGTGCCTGTCGTCGGAGGACTTGGAATCGATCAAGCAGTTTCTCCTCCACTTTGTCACCAAGGCCCTGGTCCCGTACGTGGAGCGGCAGATGAAGGTGCTCCACGACACGGTGAGTGGGACGACCTTTCTTTCTTTCTTTCTTTATTTATTTATTTATTTATTCATTTATTTATTTATTTTTTGTTGAGTTGCTTTCTTTCCTTCTTCCCCTCCCCCCCCCTTTTTTTTTCTTTTTTCTTTTTTTCTCCTCTGCAGGTTGGCACCCGGAAAGGCATTCACAGGTCCATCGTGTCAGCCACCAAGAAGTGGTTTGCCCCTGCAGGCAGAGCTGTTGCCGCTTCGAATAATTCCGCGTCCACCCCTCAAGTTCTCTACGCTGCCGATTCGCCGGAAATGCAGGTTAGGTTCGAAGCCTTGTGCAGATACAGTATCGGAGTGATAGGGGGGGGGGGGGGAAAAGGGGAAAAAAAA